GAAGCAATTTTAACTGCAGAAAAACAAAAAATTGTACAAGATAGGCAATGTAATCATAATATGCTATTTTGTTAAGCTTGAAACATTAACTTAAAATGTACATTTATTTAACTTAAAATGGTGATAGAAATACAGAGAAGATAAAATGTGTGTGTTAATTCAATAGAAGTATGAAAGAATTATAACTTCATTTAATAATAAGTTATGATTTAATGAATCAAGAAGCACCAGTAAAAGAATGTTACTTAGCAATATGGAGATACATACCAGAAAAAATTGCTAAAAGAGTTAAAAGTTGTTGCCCTGGAAAGTAGAAGTAAGGAGTGCATACAGCAGGTACTTCTAGTTTCATTGTTGTAATGTACTTTTAGTTTTTAAACTATGAACATGGGTTACTCTGATTAAATATTATATATATATATATGGAACTGAGGTTTGAACTCAGAGCTTTGTGCTTGCAAAGCAGGAACTCCACCTCTTGAGCCCAACCTCCAGTCCACTTTGGTCTGGTTATTTTGGAGATGGGCTCTCATGAACTATTTGCCTGAGCTGGCCTCAAAGTGCAATCCTCCTGAACTCAGCATTCCAAGTAGCTAGGATTATAGGCATGAGCCACTGGCCCCTGGATCCTGATAAAATATTTTTTTAAAATATGCTTTTAAAGAATTAAACTAAGGTATTAAATAGTGTGTATGGGATTTTGTCTGACCTGTGCACTCATTTCATGCTAAAAAACTACTTTTGCAGAAGGTGGGACTTCAGGAAAGATAGATAGATTTGGATGGATACAAAAAGACATATAGAATGGGATCAGTATGACTTTGAAATTAGCAAATTGGAAGAAGGGGCAAGTGAAAAGGCCAGTTGCTACAAGTTAAGAAAATAAGTTGCATGTATGAGGTCTTAGATTTGATCCCCATGACTTCAGAAAAGTAAGCTATGGAGCAGTGGGAAAACCCTACTTATCTAAGAAAGAGTCAGGTGACAGAGGTTATAGTCCAATCAGAGGAATTTGAACACGTTTGAGTAAGAACAGAAGAGAATTGTAGGGTATTTTTTCTTTTATTTTTTTGAACTGCGTTTGAATTAAGGGCTTTGTGCTTGGTAAGCAGGTGCTCTACCTCTTGAGCCACACCTCCAGCTGAATTGTATGTTCTTGAGCAATGAAATGGCATAATAAAAGCAATGCTTTAGGAACATTAATCTGAAAATTATTTGCAAAACAGTGAATGTAGGAGGACTTGGTTTGTCATTTTCACCACTATATCCCTAGCACTTATCCTGATACCTAGTAGGAGTTCAACCCATACTTATGGAATGATCACATGGAAAGTGGTAGAGGGCTGTTTTAGTAATCTAGGCATGAAGTACTGAAGCCCTGGATTAGGAAGGGGAAGTGGAAATGGAAAGGAACAGGTGGGTCTTGTACACATTTGAGAAAGAGATGCTACAATGTCTTACTCTAAATGCCCATTTTTAGTGTACAGCCATACTATTTAATACAGCCTTCTCAACTATTTAATTTATAATTACTCTAGAATATAGTCCAATTTAAGTACATTATAAATAAGTAACACTTTATATGCTTGTTTCTAGAAGATAAAAGTTCCAAATTATAAGTTATTATTCTAGTTACTATATAACAAATTATTTGAAACTGAGCAGCTTAAAACCATAACCATGATTTTAATGGTCAGGAATTTGGGCAGGCCTCAACTGGGTGATTCCTCTGCTCTGAAGGTGTCAGTTGAGTTTACTTGTTGGTATTCAACTGGTGGATGTTTTGGACTTGATAGTCCAAGATGGTTTCACTCACAAGTCTGGTTCTTAGGCTGGACTCAGTGGAGACTAGTTGTGACTATTGCTGGAGTCCTACATATGATTCTTGCATGATGCTCTTGGGGTAGCTGGTGTGATGTGGCAGTCAGAGCTCCAAAAAGAATACTCTTTTTTTGGGGGGGTGCAGGGGAACAGTACTGGGTTTTGAATTCAGGGTTTTGTGCTTGCTAGGCAGGTGCTTCACAGCTTGAGCCATACCTCCAGCCTCTCAGAAAGAATATTCTAAGAGATCAAGGTAGAAATTACAAGGCTTTTTCACATCTAGTTTGAGATAGCATGCAATGTTATACATCTTCCACAGTGGCCTAGTTACAAGTGACTCAGAGGGCCAGCCAAGATTCCAGGACAGAGGATGCACAAAAGCATGGACCCCAGGAGGCACTGTTCATTGGAGGACCGTCATTGGAAATGGTGGAAATCTCATGTTCTTAATCTGTATAGGTAAAAGCACCACTCACATTTTCATAAGGAAAGGTTATGTTAATGAGTCTCAAACTGTACTCACAAGCAAACCTACTCTTTCACTACTATGTTGAAAAAAATGGCAGTATTTTCTATTTTGAAAGACAAACCTGGATTAGCAAGTTTTTTTAAATCAATCTCCTATTTCCTTGTGAAAGTATTTCTTAAACCTTATTGCCTGATATTATTATTCCTCTTGTGTGACAGCAATTTTTAGAAAGATTTTTTTTAACAAAGCATTTTTCTCCTTCCTGGCTCTGTGATGATACTCAGGATTGTGGTGTTCTTTTGCCAGAAATACATGTAGCAGGTCATAAAGCAGAAGCTTTTTGTAGGATACTTCCCTTTCCAGCTTTGTTTTCATGAACCTGATTCTCAGAATCCATTGTGCAGGAGGAAAGAAGCAAGGGTTGAAAGGCAACAAAAGGTGGCTCAATAGAGGTTCCCAAAGCTTCACTCCGTGGCCCTTTCATTTACCTCCTCTGCTTCTCCACACCCATGAAGTCTCCTGAGTCACCTAGGAATGTTTTCATGGAGAATTTGGAAATCATTGCTCTCCATCAATCATCCCTCAGATCTTCTGAGTTAAAGAACAAAGAGGAATAGTGGAGAGAAAGTTGAAGAACATCAGATACAGGCTACCATGTTTCTTGTTTTGCATGTACAGGGGATAAATGAAGTTGGAGTTACCAGCAATGGTAACTTTTTAGCCCAGAATTATGGAACAATGCTGGTACTGGTGAGTAGTTAAGTACTGGCAGGGAGTGGAGAATAATTAATTCCACTTTAGGAATGCTAAATTTGAGGTTATAGAATACGATTTAAAAAAATAAAACAGGTGGCCTACAAGCAGCTGAAGTTTGGGAATGTTACACAAATGAAAAGGTCAGGGTTGTGGATAAGAGATTCCTGTAATAGTTGAAGTGATCTCAGAGATAATTGAGCAGAGGTTTGAAGATAGAGTCTTCATGACATCCTGCTTGCAAAGGTAGAAAACTAGTGTCATACCTGCCACATCCAGCCCATAAAGTATCACAACAAACTACTTTCAGTGACTCTTGACTTACTAAAAAACATTGTTCTCTAAAATTATAGACTATCAGAAACTAGTGCTTTACATTGTATGAGTAAGAATAAAACACCCTACTTGTGCCTAGAGAAGCAGCCTTGATTCCTAAACCAGGTGAAGAGCATGGAAAAAGGAGTTTCAGAAGACATTTTACATCTTTATTAACTTTGTAGTGTTCAAGTAAACAGGACCTTGGCCCACTGTAGTCCAACCCTGATGTTGCTATCTTTACTCATAGTTTAGCTTTCCTTGGAGCCTCTCACAACACTGATTCATGTACATTTTACCAAAACTCCACACTTCCCCCAGAGATGTGATAACTGCACCTTTTCCTTTCGTGAGATTCTCCACAGTTCCCCTGGTGTGCGCTCTCCTTCACTGCAGTGGATAGAACAATCTGAATCTGTTTAACTATGGATTTGTTTTTTGAGGTGTTAGGATGCTTGGATGAACACAAGAGGTCATTGAAGGTTTTCATAATTAAATTATTCATTTTATAAACAGAAACTGGGGAACAGAGAGAAAAGGTTTCTAATTGTCATTGTACTTTTCCTTCGTAGCACCGCAGTCATTTCTATGTAAAGAACTTTCATGGTATTCATCTTCTAAACATACAATGCAAAGTCAAGTAGAGTGGTTTTGCTGTTTGTTTTTGCAATATTTGAGGATGAAGCCAGGGACTCCCGCACGCTACACAAGTGCGCTACCAGTGAGCCGCACCCCCAGCCGCTGGAATGGTTTTTTGTTTTTGCCAGTACTGGGGTTTGAACTCAAGACCCATGCATGGTAGGCAGGCGCTCTACAACTAGAGCCACTCCGCCAGCCCCTGGAGTGTTTTTTTTCTAGGCCTTTAAAAAACGTCTTTATACCTCAGATCATTCTTCTTCCTGATACTGCAATTGACAAGTTCTGTAGGTTTACTGGGGAAATGGGGCCTCCAATTCACTGAACACGGGTGGGGCGGCGCATGTGCAGTTCACTGCCCACCTGTGCGTCGCCCTGACTAGGCAGCTGATGGAGACAGACTGGAGGGTTTTTTTTTCATTGGGGGAGCGGGTTGTGAAGGGGTTCTACTTCCACCCCACCCAACAGTTCCACTTTTCTTTAGCAACCTTCTTCATTCCTTAGAAGTGACATTTTTTTCCTTCTTATTCCTATCTCTCCAACCCATCCTCCCAGGAAGGAGCAACCGTTTTAACCCGATCCACGCCCCGCCCTTCATTCAAACTTCCCTTTTCTTGCCACGCGCTCTAAAAAAGGGGCGCCAAGAATCGCTTCCCCCCCCCCCAGCCCCCGCCAAAAGGAAAGGAAACACTTCCTTATAGGGATCTGGTACTGTATTTAAAGAAACTACAACATTACGTAGTTATTCTTTCTCCCCTTACCAAAGGAAAGAAAGCTGAGGGCGCCTTCCTTAGCTCCAAGGAATTCTGCAGTGACAGGAGACTCGGAGCCCAAGGCGCTTCCGCAAGCGATCTTCCAAGGAAACTTCAATCTGCGACCCCCACCCAGAGCAGTGGCGGAGCCCGCGGCGCTGCCCGGAAGGCCCGGCGCGGGCGCTGATTGGTCACGGGGCCGCCCGAAGCCCCTCCCTGCGCCTGCGCAGTCCTCCTTTCCCGCCGCCCAGAGAGCAGCCCCGCCCGCCGCCCAGTCGCCGGTCTGCGGCCTCTGGACGGATCAAGCGTCGGCCGGCAGCAAAGCGTAGCTGACCAAGGTGGGTGGGGGGGGCCCAGCCTACTTCGCACGAGAAGAAAGGAGGGGCGACTCTGCAGGCCCCCAGAATTTCCCAGCCCCCTGCAGCCTGCTTCGGCCGGCGAGGGAGAAGCTGAGGAGCCCGAGACTCTCCGGTGCTGCCGCCATGGCTGCCATGATGGATCGGAAGTGAGCCTTGGGGCTCCAGGGCTGCCGGCGCTTCGAGTCCCAGCTCGCGGGCCGCTCCTGCCCCGGGAAGCACGGCGTGACAAGCTGCTGCCTCTCGGTTCTCGCGACCCTCCGACGCTCAACTCCGGCTGCTTCCTCCGAGACTAAGCAGCGGGGAGTGGCTCCCGGCCTCCGGCCCCTGCTGCGAGAAAGATGGCGGACCCGGCCGAGTGCAACATCAAAGTGATGTGTCGCTTCCGACCTCTCAACGAGTCCGAGGTGAACCGCGGCGATAAGTACGTCGCCAAGTTTCAGGGAGAAGACACGGTCATGATCGCGGTGAGTGACCCTGACCCTCCCCGCTCCCGTCCCGCCCCATCGGGGCTCGCTGGGCGGGGACGGACTTACAGGGACGTGGCGGGGTGCAGACCCGGAGGGAGCAGTGGTCCCCAACTCTCTGGCGGGGTTCGGCCGGTTCGGGTAGCCCCGGGAGGGAGACTGTTCCAGGATCAACCCCACCCCGGTCTTCTGAAACCGGAGGCTCAGTCTCAGCTCGGGACACTCCCCCACTTGGGGCGCTGCAGGAGCCGTCCGGGTGTAATTGCTGATGCTTAGTGTTTGTGTGTGTGTTGGGGCGCTGCAGGAGCCGTCTGGGACCAAGTTCTGGGGCTGTGTGTGTGTGTGTGTGTGTGTGCAGTTGCTGATGCTTAGTGTTTGGGATTACCCCCAAATTTGTCATTCATAAGACGTAAAAAATTAATTCAGAGTTCGAGTAGAACCTTGAGTCGTGAGTTGAGCGCTACCTAAATAATAGATAACTTGTTTTATAGGAACACATAACTAGGTGTTGAACTCCCCAGGGAGGAAGAAAATCAAACAACTACCTCAAATGTTCACCTACCCGATTTATGAGTGATGAATAACTTTATGTTAACAATAACAAATGGCAAATCGAGGATTGTAAAAGGAAATAGTTTTCTTTGAAATCGGAGTGGTCAATTTTGTTTAATTTTACAGTAGGTTTAAGCAGATTCAGTGTTGGAAAGATCCAGAATTTTGCTCTTACTGGGTTTTATGGAGTAACAGCACTGTAGGAAAAAGTGATAACTGCATATATCGGACAAGAAGTATTTTAAAAACAGACTTATAAAAAGAAAAAAATTGACCTTTATTAGATTCACACTTATGCAATTAAAACCTACATTGGAGAAAACTGATCTTGGTAATTCCAGGGATAGTGAGATGTTGCTCCTTTGCAGCATGAAGTAAAACATAACAAGAGTTGGCTGATCAATAGACCAGAAAGTGAGGATTTTTTGAGATCTGATTTCTAGACTTGAAAGAGCTCTGAAAATAGCATTCTCAGTTTAAGAAGATTTGAAATAGAGTCTGCATGCAAAATGGTGAACTGTGACAAAAATTAAATTCACCTTTATTGGTAATGCTTTGTGGTGGAACATTTTTTTTCTACATTGTCATCATGGTGCAAAATTTGATTTGTTAACTTTTGCTGTAATGGAATTGTGTATTTTGGAGGCTATTTGATTTGGAAATAGGGCAGAGGGGTCACAGGAAATGGGACATTGATGATTGAAAACACTGATATGGAAGACAGGGCTAAAGTGAAGGTTTCCAAAGTTCACTTCTAGATAGTGAATGTGTTAGCTCCACATCCTCTTGGTAGACTTTTGGCAGAAAATCAGTAGGTCTCTGCCAACTGCCAACTACTGCTCTGTGAAGACTGTCAGGCCGGTTTTTTTGTTAACAAGGCTTCAAGACAAACTCTTGCTATAAATGACATCATAGTAAGGCAGAAAAGTTAAGCACAGTGATCATTCTCCTTTAGGAGGATGTATGGTACATGGAATCCATAGCCACTTGAAACTCCTGGATTAGTTGCCAAACTTGAGGCTAGTAGTTTCTTAAGAATTTTTGTGATTACTCAGCTTCAGCAATGGTTTACACATTTGTGTTTGTTTTTCTTTTCTACTTGTATTAAGATTGTCTTATTTCTCCGGGTTTTTGTTTAAACAAATCTATCAGTATCACTAAAATTGTTTTTGTTGGAGTGCTAAAATTTAGGATTCATGTACTACGATTAGAAAGTAAACTTTTGATGTGACTCAAATATGACATACAATATGAAGTGAAAACCAGTTGCCATAGGAAATATTTATCCTAGATATTTCCTTTAGAAAAAAATTTTAAGTTTCAAAATTTCTTTGGTAATTAAGTAATTTTAAGTGATAATGTAGAAATATCGGTAGGTGATTAGATGGTGAATCAGTAATGAACAGTTAGTTGGGTTTTTGGTTAATTCATAAGCACTTTAGTGTGGCCTTTAAAAGTATAAAGAAAAATATAACTGAGTGATATGACCTTTAAAAATGTAAGGAAATATGTTTAGTTCATTTCCAGGAACTAATTTCTTGCCAATAGTAATTAATTATGCTGGGGTCTTGTATTTTTGTTCAGCTTTTTAATGAATTGTACTTTAAAAGATTGTTTGGGAATTCATAAGGACAGCTGAGAGGAGTGAAATTTTAAATTTGTAGAAAAGTCTCTCTCTTGGTTTGCTTTCATTCATTTTACTGAATCCTGATCCTAATTCACAGTAAACAGTTCAGTGAGAATAGCAGCAGTGCAACATTTAAAACTAAATTGTTTTAAACATGATTTAACAGTGTTTTGTATACAATCTTCTAGTTAAATCAAAATTTAAAACATAAAGTATTTTACCTTATGCTACTGAATTGCAAGTGTAATCAGTGCTCATAAGAAAACAATTTTTAAGGATTCTCACTTTCTTCTAAGTTTTGTTTTTAATACTTGTCCACTTTTTCCCCTATTACCCATGTAAACAGTGATTTTAATATAATATGACCCTTGACAGACAAGCTTTTTATTTGTTTATAATTTAAGTGCTTAGTGAAGTACTGTAAATAGCACATTGTATAAAATAAATGAATTGGTTTATGAAAATCTTTAAACAATACTGACAAAACCTATTTTAAATTAGAGAACTTGTTATTCACAAAATAAGGAGAACAAGAGGACTCATTGTGTTCAAATGAGCTTTCTGAAAACAAAAAAATTAGAAAAAATACTTCTGTATCTACTTAGGCATCATAAAAGTAGAATATGACCATTTGTATGATTATCTTTTCTAATTATAGTTCTTTATATAGTATACTATAAAGACTCAGAACCAAAATCAGCCTGCCGTGGTTCATTAAAATTAGAGGAGAATCAAACTAATCAGATTGTCTTGCTCATTTCCTTGCCTAAAGGAAATGGTGATTTCCCCTTTCTAGTAAATGGTGATACTATGTTTGAATCTTCCTGAGATTCTGAAAAGCCATCATCAGGTGCCTTTACTTAACTTTGTGGAATGTTATCCCACTGCTGGATCTAAGGAAAATATAATATGGTATGGTCCTGTGTGATCTGAAAAGGTCACTATTCAGAATTCCAGACAAAAGCATATCCTTGCCAAAACACTGTCCTTACCAAATTTGGTCTGTGCAGACTCAAACAGAATCACTTCACTTAAGAAACCTAAGGTATGGTTGCAGTTCAAATAAACTTATTCCTATTTGATTTGTTCCCATGAAGCCTCAGTTAGATGTGAATGCACGTTGTGACTTGGTGTTTGTAAAATTGAGTAATTTTGAGAGTTCATAGATTTACAGACTGCATAATACATGTTTCAAGTCTTAAAATACAGGTGCAGATACTTAGTTTTCCTTTGTTTAATCTACTTGGAAGACTGAGGTGTGCCTTAACTTTAGGCCATTAGAAATAAAAGTAAGTTTCATTGCTCAGGGTCTTGATCTTTACCCCAGGAAGCCAGGGTCAGTAACTTCATGACTAGATCTTTAAGCAAAATATTTGCCTTACGTAATAAAACCATAATTTCACTTTGCAGTTAAATCTTTTGTAAACTTAATACTAGGCATGTAAGTTAATTTTTTATTTAACTGTGATGGAATTAAAAAAAAATCTGTCCCAACTTATTTTTATATTTCTGTGTTACTCGTAAATCATTGCTAGTCTTAATATTTTCATAAGGTTGTAGTGGTAGGTTTTCCCGGTTGCTATGAGGTGATGCTAAACATCTACGTAAAGTTCTTTATTACCCCATTATGTTAGCATATCTCTTTGTAAATGGTTGAGGATTTGTTTATGTTAAGATTGAGGTATGACTTAGAGTTCAATAGTGCTATTTGTTCTTTATATTCTTTGAATTACTCTGATAGGGTTTTATTGTCTGAGTTTTTATTTTTATTTTATTTTTACAATTACTTACATGTGTATACATTATTTGGGCCACCTCCCTCCCCCGCCTCCGGGCAGAACCCACCTCTTGTTCTCCGATTTTGTTTAAGAAAAAACATATAAGATAAAAAGAAAAACAGTGTTTTGCTAGTTTGAAATGAAGATGGCAATATAGGGAGATTCCTTGTCTTGTTTCCATGCACATGTGTATTACAACCCAAATTAATTAATCTCTACCAGACCTCTTTACTACTTCCTAGTCCCCTTCCCATAGTGTCCTCAGTCAGTTTAAGATTACTCCTATACAGTGATCAGCTACATTCAAGTTTCTGGTTTCCTTCCCTTTCCCTATTCCTCCTGTGTGCAGTCTCCCCTTAATGTGTGAACCGTGTCCAATAATATTACTGCATTTGTTTTAGGTCTGTAATCTACATATGAGGGAGAACATGTGATTTTTGTCTTTCTAAGCCTGACTGACTTTGCTCTGTTGATTATTTCTTGCAAGCAAAATTAGAATTAATCATTGCTTTTTGCTTTAGTGTCACTTTTTACACATGTGTTAGTTTATGTATATTCAGGCTAGTTGCAATTTTTTGACTTCTTTACCAGATTGTACCTATCTCCATTCAATTCAGTTAACATTACTTGATACACCTATGCTAGATCCTAATATACAGCTTTTTCACTTAGTATTTAAGACCTTACCCAGGCTTATCCTCTGTTACTCTTTGAATGTGACAGTCTGTAGTAATTATCATTTCTAAAATATATCTGATATCTTACAATCACTAAAAAGTGTTTTCTGGATAAATGAAGAGGAAAATTTTTGTATAGAAAGAACATTAGTATAATTTATCTCTGGGTAATGATTGTTATTTTCATTGTACTTGTATTGTCAGAATTATTTCCATGGATGTATATATATATAATACAAACTAATAAATTGTCTCTCTCTAACCACATCTGTGGAATTGAATGTTAATGTCTTAGTGGCATCTTAGCAAAAGGATACTTTCGTTTTGCAGTTCTGTTTCGTTCTTTTTTCTGAGGTTTTCCATATCCTGGCAGTTTTCTTCTTTATTGTTGTCTATTTTTGTCCTGAGTTCATTTATCCATTTATTCATTGTGTTCTCTCTTTCACTTTGGTGTTTATACAGTGCTTCTATGGTTTCCTTTATTTCTTCTTTTGCTTTTTCAAATTCTCTAGTTTTATTGTCTTGGAATTTCTTGAGTGTCTCCTGTACATTTTGGTTGACCCTATCCAGTATCATCTCTATAAAATTCTCATTGAGTACTTGTAGTATGTCTTCTTTTAAATTATTCTTGTGGGCTTCATTGGGTCCTTTGGCATAGTTTATCTTCATTTTGTTGGAGTCTGGATCTGAGTTTCTGTTCTCTTCATTCCCCTCTGGTTCCTGTACTAATTTTTTGCTGTGGGGAAACTGGTTTCCCTGTTTTTTTCTGTCTTCCCGTCATTGTCCTTGGTGTTGTTACTGTCCCTGTACTGTGTGTAATTAAGTATTTTCTAGCTTGTAATAATAACAATGGTAATATTTAGAATGGAAGAGTGAGCTGAGATGGAAAGCAAGAAGTTAAAGAAAAGGGGAAAACAAATATACAGACAAGAGGGAGAAAGCAGAACAAGGTATCAGACAAGAGAGTTTCAAAGGTATAAACAGGGAGTGTTAGTGTACTAATCGACAGTAAGCTGAACAGACATTAGAGAGACAGAGAGGATTGAAAATCAAAGATAAAAAAAATAAAAAATAAGTAAATGAAAGTAATATCTGTATATAAAAATGAATTAAAATAAAATGGAAAATAGAAAATTAAAAAAAAAAAACTTCCAAGTTTATATGCAGTGCAGTTTCAGTCTTAATAATTTGGGTGTCCATCTCAATCTCCAGTCCTGGAGTTGGTGCCTCAGATGTTGTTCTGTAGTTATCTCATCAAAGGGGATGCATAAAGTAGAACAAAACTACACACTCACACACACACACACACACACACACACACAAAAGCCCCACCAAGTGTCCCCAGTTCAAATGCAATACAGTTTCAGTAAGTTTTTCGGCTTGCAGGTGTAATTTGGTTGTTCTCTCATCAAAGGTAGGGAGAAAAAGAAAAAAAAGCGTCTGGAGGCAGTTCTGAGAGTGGTATCTGCAACTGTGGCTTGCCTGCCTGCTGCTCTCAGCCTGTAGCTGGCGGCGTTATTTATGCAGATCTCTGGGGTGAGCTAGCACTCACCTGGTCCCATAGGCTTTGTTTGCTCAGAGTTCTGCTGTGCGGGAGCCTCTGCTACAGGCTTTCCCCTTTCCAAGCACTGGGAAAGGTGACACTGCCCCCGCGTTGTCAGGCCTGCGTGTTTGTTTACAGCTCACGTGGGAAGTGGGTCTTCCCCCCTCTCCTTTGAAGTTTTCCTCCCACTGCCACTTTCAGCAGCTTTCCTGCTCCTGCTTACTGGGTGGTGCTGCTGCTCCTGCCGGCCACCATGTTTGTTTACAGTGGGAAGTGGGTCTTCCCTCCTCTCACCAGCTTCCCCGCTCCTGGTTGCTGGGCACGCGCCCCGCTCCCGCCAGAGGCTCTGCGGCCCGCCCGGCTTGTTTATTTATTTTAATCCCGGGAAGGATTCCCTTCCCCCAATCTTCAGCGCTCAGGGCGCCCCACCCTCTTTCCAGCGTGTCTTAACTGTTCTTATTGCTTAGTACTCAGTTTCTCTTTTTTTTTCCCGTGTGGAGGTCAGTCTGTCCAGGGGGCTATGCTGCTCTGGCCAGGCTTGTCTGTGGGAGAACCGCGGTACCGCGAAGCTCACCTGGTCCGCGTCTTCCCACGCCTTATGGGCGCCAGCCACTGGCGGCCCCGGGGGCCCTCCTCGGTTCTCCATTTAACGTGAAGTGCAGATTCTCTGCACCGGCTGGAGATGTGGAGGAGTCAAAGTTATGCCTTTTCTCGGTGATTATGCCTGCAAAGTGTGTCTCCAGCGTCTCTCCAAGATTTCACTATAGGAGGGTCGCTTTCTGCTTCCTACCTCTAGCCGCCATCTTGGAATCTGCAGGAATCTCTAAATGCCAAGAGCAAGGAACCTGTTGACTTTCAGGAGTCCTGAAGACAGTTAACTCTCCTTTGTAGACTTATCCTCTTGTGGAGGTAAAGGTGGAATAAAGCTCAAGACAGGGAGCCCTTCTCTCTGAGAGGGTGCTGTTCATTGTGTCCTTAGTGGAGACGGGCTGAGTAGCTTTCCTGATGGTATTACTTCTTTGTATTGGAAATGGGACCTCCGCGGGTTAGGGGAGTAGAATTAGGCCCAGTGTCTTTCCTTGCTGTCTGACATGCAAATCTCAAAAGGATACTTTCGTGTCTGTTACACCTAAAGAATAATCAGACATTAATGCCATCTTAAATTGATGGCAAAGTGAGGTCATTTTAGTATATCCATCAGGAATGCTTTTAGCTGCAGAGGAAAACAAACAATAGTGGCTTAAGCAATAAGTGGTTATTTTTCTCATGTAATAAAAAGCCTAGAAATAGTCCCATACTGCTAGTACTTCTTGGATCCTGACTGTTACGTTGTCATCCTCAGTTACTGACTTTTCATCATCATCATTTCTCATGTTTGCAAGATGGATGCTATAGATCTAAACATTCATTCTAGGAAGGAGAAAAAGCTAAAGCTGGGATGGTCCTTTTTCTCAAGAAAATAAGGGCTTGCGGAGTGGCTCAAGTGGTAGATTGCCTACTTAGCAAGCATGAGGCCCTGAGTTTAAACCCCATTACCACCAAAGAAAAAATAATACCCTTCTCAGAGACCTCCTGGTAGTTCACCACTTTATAATCTCCAGACCTTCGTCATAGGACCACTGGTTTCAAAGAGATTAGGCTAGTGGAAAGTAGTAAGGGAAAGGAGAATTGGGAATGGCTTTGGATAGCCCTTGAGAGAGTATCCGTTTCATTGTAACAGTTAATCAAAGCTTTGGGAGCAGGGTCGTGAGGTTAGTTTTAAGATCTAGGAATTATTCTATAATTTAAGGTTGGGGTTTTTGTTTTGCTTTGTTTTCTGGAGTCATGTTTTTTTTGTTTATCTTAACATTTAAGGGCCTAGCTTCCTTCCTTCCCTTTAGAAAACTAGAGAGGCAGGTACATGTGAATGCCCAGAATCTCCTTGCCTCTTTTTCTCACCTTGAGATTCTCAGTCTCTGAAATTATTAGATTATCTGATATTGTGTAACAGTCTTGCCTGTCTTTAAAAAAAAAAAACAAAACAACTTTTGTAGACCCACAACCAAATTTCTGCTCTACTTGATTATTTCTTACTCTATTTTCAAGCTGTTATACCTGGCCTAGTCTTGACTTCACAGCTGTATTCTTTCCTTGACTTTCATGGATACTATGTACTCTTTTTTTTTTTCTTTTTTGTTCTATGCCTCTGACTCCTTTGTAGACTATATCAGAGGTTCTCCCAAGAGTTGTCTGGGGAGTCCCAAATGTGCTTTCTGGGGGATCCACAGGATTCAGAATACTTTAAAAATAAGATATCTTTTTCACTGTGTTGACATTTGCATTTGATTCTTGCTGCTTGTATGTCAAACTAAACAACTTCCTTTGATTTCTTGAATGCTACAAGCTGCTTTCTGCCTTAGCATCTTTAAGCATCCTATCCATATTGCCTAGACGGCTTTCTCACACCGATAGCCACCCACCTCTTGGTGACTAAAACTAAAGAGTACAACAGTGTACTAGGCACTACTTACTCTTCAGTTCTTCATCATCCCTTTTCCAGATTTATTTTCCTGACATTCTTCTGTGCTCCCCTAAATGCAGGTTCTCCTCTTGTTATAGCACTATAGTTGGCATGAGTCAGAATTCCAGTCACTCTATGTATGATATCTGCCCCACTGTTACTTAACCTCCACTGGCAGAGAATCTTTTCTTGGACATCTTACATTGCATAAATATTTGCTAAAAGAAAGAATGAGTGAGTTGTTGCAGTAAGGCTGGGCATAGTGGTGCATACTTATAACCCAGCTACTAGGGAGTCAGAGATCAGGAGGATCACAGTTTGAGGCCAGCCCCAGCAAAAAGTTAGCAAGACCTCATCTAATAAATAATGCTGGGGGTAGTGTTGCACCTCTGTAACCCCCAACTACAAGAGAAAGATTGAGGTCCCTTTTGCTTTAGCAAAAAGCTGAAAACTGTTAAGTAATAAGTAAAGCATAAAAGAGTTGGGGGTGTGACTCAAGTTGTAGAGCACCTGCCTAGTCCTAAACCCCCAGTACTGCCCCCTCCCAAAAAAAAAAAAAACAGCCTCAGTACCATTTGAGTGACTACATTAGTAGTACTAATTATAATCACTGCACTAGGCCTGGGAATACAGCAAAGACTAAAACAGTCCTTGTTTTCATGGAGTTTATTCTTGTGGGTTTATACATAGTAGCCCCAAAGGTTCATTTCACTCAAGTTAAAATGATAAGAAGTGATGTAAAGTATGTATACTATTTTGAAAGCTCAATATATGATATATTTTTTTAATGTCACTTAGAAGTATCCCCTCATCTTTAATTTGTATAACTGAAACACTTTTGTTTCTTGTTTTTTAGTCCAAGCCTTATGCATTTGATCGTGTGTTCCAGTCAAGCACATCTCAAGAGCAAGTGTACAATGACTGTGCAAAAAAGATTGTTAAAGGTAAGTATGTTTAACTTGTTGAACTAAATTTATATTTACTATCCTAGCAGTAAGTAAAATTTGATTTGTGATCTTTCCCACTTAACTCCATCTTTGCTTTTTCCTTTTAATGCCCATTTCTTCTGTGTTAATTTCAGAAAAAGGTTTGGATAATACACTTACTAATAGTACTATACTGCTTAATTACCATACAGTAGCTAGTGAAGGGTGTTGTAGGAGTGTTATGTATTTGTTTTTGAAAGATGGGTTTCTATTAGCTAGTCTCAGAATTTCCAAGATAATAATTCTAGAAATGGAAAAGCTTGAGAAGGAAGACAAAATGGCTGGACAAGTTTTTAAACTATGGCCAAAGACAGCAGTCTATCATTCTTCCACTCCATTTTTACTCCTTTCCCAAAGGTTTAACTTGTATTCAGCAAAGAAACTTTTGACAATTTAATAGGGATTGCCAAGGATGAGAAAGGCAACTTATACTAAGATATTTATCAATTTTATGTTTTCTAAAACCATTTAACTCTAGGGTTGAGAGAATGCTAAGCGGTTATTTGGAGTTAATTTCCAGTTACTATAAAAATAACCTTATCAAAGGGATCTTACAGTTAAATAGTTACTTATGATTTATTCCATTTTTGATAGCTCTAGTTAATAAAAAGTGCTTCTTAGATTAAAACAGAAATCTTGTGACATTCATGAGGGTAGAGAGGTAGGATTTGTTTTTAGTGGGAGCACAAACCATCTTAGTAACAGAAGAGAATTTGTGGATAAAAGTATTTTATAGATATGATAGAGGGGAAATGTAGACATTCTTTTCATATGCCATATTGAACGTCAGAAACAAAGTCATCACAGAGAGTGAAGAAGGAGGAGAAAGTTCTAGGAAAAGGCATAAAATGAATGGATTGGGGCAGGTTGGTAGTATTGCCAGGTACCATTAAGGGCCCATTTGAGGTTAGGTGCCAGAAGAGTTGGATTTACCCATTTGGAGTTTGCTAGACAAGTACAAAAGAGGAGAGAAAGCGGCAAGAGAATTGAGGATACCATGAAAGGAAGTAGTTATAATGGTGGACCGTGGAACCTAAAGTGGGTAAGGTATAGCATAAGGGAACTTAAAGGATAGTGAAAAAAGGTGGTAAGATTAGAACCCAGTGAAGACAAAGGATTGTTGGATTAAGGGTACCAGAAGGAGTAATAGAATGTGGGCATTTAAAATTGGAATTATGGAGGCAGTACAGTTGGTAGTGAAAAGGTCAGGGTCTCTCTGTGGAGCTGGCAGTTAGGTCAAGGATCTGGGAGACCACAGTGTTTTAGTAAGATTGTCTACTGCATGGACATTGAGAATTTACAACAGGACTGATACTGGTGAGAGACAGTAAACGGTGTTGAAATCTTCATAAAATGAGAGGAAATTAATGTGAGATTCTGTAACTGCCTGCAACAAAGAGGAAAAAAGTGTTATTGTATGTTGTCAGTATCAAAAAGTATTCCAAAAGGATCTATTAGAGAACATAATTATATTGCATTATTTGATTGTGGCACACTGTTTCTATCAGTATAATTTAAGATTACATTTTCTTTTTGTTGTGTTCTGTATGTTTTTGTGGTCCTGGGGTCTTAAGGCAAATGCTTTACCACTGAGCTACTTGCCTGACCCAAGGTTACATTAACTTTTTAATTTGTAAGAAGTGATTGATTCATGAATTCATGAACAATTTAAATGTACAAATCTTTCTTACATGTGCTACAGTGTTTAACCCCATTCCATTCTTGCACATCAAAGTGTAAGTATTTAACATGCAGATTCCATTTTGTTCATTTCAGGCTGTGATTATATTTTAGTTTTGTTTTTATAGTTTTCTTATTAGGATCTACTAAGTTGACTTTTGGCATATTTGAAAAGTGCACAGTAGTGTCAAGGACATTGAAATTTGAAAGTATTCTAAATATTTTATTAAATGCTTAATGAATGGGCCGTGGTTGTTAGCCTAATCTAAAAACTAAATAAGATTGTTGGCAGTTAATTAAATCATGATATTACATTGTTTGAATATTCAGCCAACTCAGAGCTTCTTACCTTTAAACTTGTCTAGTTCTTAGTTCCTCTTACATTTCTGTAAGAATATGATGAAAAACTTTGATCCTTTTATGAAATCATGGTGCATGACCCTGGTATTTCCCTCAAAGTACCAATCATTTGTCCTTAGCCAAAGAGGAAATTAAGTTAGTTTAACCATATTTTTTCCTTAGTGAAATTTTTGAATACTTGTCTGTAGTTCCCAGAATCTGTAATTTTTCCCTTTTTGAAAATTAGTGTAACATTTGTAAATTATTCATCTTCTGTTACCTTTGTCCTCCAGGTTTTAAATTTACCTTTAGTAACTGGGAGAGTTTGATCCCTAAAATGTAATAACTGGAAACTTGGGTGCATTTAAAACCATTTTTCTGCTGTTACTCTACCCATATCAACCTTAAAGTCTTTTAACAGTGTTTATTCTGTTTTCAGAGTAATGCTTGTGGAATATAGTAATAAAATGGGAATACGTCTGTCTTAATGTCATCAGGTAACTTCATCATACTTAGGCAATACAAGTTGATTATTCATCTTTTTCTGAATATGGCTTTAAAAGATCTTTTTAAAGCCTTACATTTTATTTTGTTTTGTTTTTGTAAGACATCCTTTCTCATACTATTCTAGAGATTTTTATTACATCCTTGGATGTTTAGTCTTAACAATAGGTTTATACCTCCCTTTTTCAGAGCTTTTTGAAATCTGTTTATCAGTCATTTTTGGTTTTGTTTTATTACTGTTTATAATTCTAAGCTGATATTTGTTTCCTGAAATTTCTCTGTTTTTCAAAAAATGTCAGCCTGTTTTTGCTTTCCTGTTTGGAACTAAATTCTACTTTACCAGCCTGTTTTTGCTTTCCTGTTTGGAACCAAATTCAGGATAGCAGTTTTCTTCTTTGCAGTATGATTAAGAGTAGTCGAGCCTTTGGAATTACATTGAAGTGTAGACTGTTGCTTTCTAAGCTGTGTGATTTCCCGTAGGTTACCTGACCTTCTTAAGTCTCCATCTTCTTTTCTGCAAAATAGAACATACTGCAAGGATTTAAGAACACAAATTGTTTCCTCTGTCTTTGGAGAAGAAATTATTTTCTTAAATAATTCATTCTTTCCTCTTCAGTTCTTAAATGTCACTCTTTCCTGCTTTGTAATTTGCATAGGACAGTGTCACCTGGTTTGACTTTTCCTTTTGTCTTCACCCAAATGCTCTGTATCTTTTTAGAGAAACCTATATGTAGTAGCTAGTGGGGCTCATCCTGGACAAGAATAGAAATACAGCAGAATTACTAAAAATACAAAGATTTAAGGTGTGGGGATAGGTAGTTGGTGTCCAGTGAGGTGGGAAGATAGGAAATCAACTAAATAGATTAGACTTGGTACAGTCTTTGGCAAATAGATTAGGTGGGAGACCTGGATTAAAAACTGTTTGGTAGGCAAAGATGAGCAAAATGATGGGCCATGGGGATTTCTTCTGAGATATGGATTTGACTAGCAAGCTGCCTGATAGTATTCTGGGCCATTGATAGTCCATTGAGGTTGCACTGGTTCATAAATTTCTGTATAGGTATATAGCTTTATTATGTATATGACCTTTACCTTTTTGTTTTTATGATTCATTAGATAGAATTGTTGCTTTTGAACAAATTATCCACTTGTATTCATTTTTGAATTCTGAATCTGAGTGATTGCTGTATGCTCGTTTCCCCTATACTAAATAGTTGTCATTTATTCAGTGCCTGCTCAAAGCTAGGCATCATACCAGACTTTCATAGATTACTTAGTTTCCCGTGATGGCTTCCAGACCTGGATTGTCTGACACTGTTTCCACCTTTGATTTTTCCACATGTAGCCTGCCATATATTTATTTTAGTTCCTGTATGCCTTGAGAATATAGTACAGTGGTCAAGAAGAAGTCTCTGGAGCCATCCTTATCTCCATCTTACTAGCTGTGGGACTATAGACAAGTTAATTTAATTTCTGTGCCTCAGTTTCCTCTTTTGTAAAATGGAACTAATAATACTTTGCATAGAATTTTGAGAGTTAAATTTATTAATATATTGGCAGCTACTGGCACATTGTAAACTCATATTAACAATAATAATTATAGATGATGATTTCTAATTCTCACAGCCTTTCTTTGAGGAGACATTTTGCTGGTGAGAAAGCTAAAGTTCATGGAGATTAAGTGACTTTCAAAAGGTGGTTATGCTCTTGTCTCACTAGCTAATTAGGGTTTTTTGTTTTGTTTGTTTGTTTTTGTTTTTAAAGAAAAGTAATATTTTGCATAGTTGTCTGCCTCTGAATTTTATGTTAAGTTTCATATGATTGAGTAAAAGATCTTAAGTAGGGAATGTGACATAGACCCTTTGAGAACAGATATATATATAAAGCAGGTGAATTGGAATGGGCCCACTGCTTTTTACCCCAGATCATTTCTTCTTCATACAGTCTCATCTTTCTAAATGTGATTCATGAAATGCTTTTGCTACCCTTAAAAAAATGAAGCAGTCTTTAGAGCTTGGGGTGGGACTCAGGTAGTAGAGTGCCTGCCTAGTAAGTGCAAGTTTCTAAGTTCAAAACTCCCTGAATCACCAGGAGCAAAAAAAGGGTGGGAGCTTCGAAGGAAGGTTTCAAATGTTTGCAGTCTCTTAAAAAATCTTAAATTTTTCCCAGGGAAGTAAGTACTGGTAACTTTTTCTTATTAATAAATATCTCTGTGGGAAATCTATACTGTTGATTTCTTTTCTTTTCCTTTTGAAAATCAATCAAAACAAGGATTGGTTGGAGCTGAGAGTATAGTTGAGTGTTAAGGCGCTTGCCTAGCTAGCATGCTCAAACCTTGGGTTTGATCCTGGCATCCCTCGAAAAGAGCACCCAGTTGGTGTACTTCCTGCTTTACTTTCCACTGTTAATGATCTGCTGTTTCCAGTAGAGGTTTCTCTCTTTAGTTTGAATTTCTCAAGAGTAGAATGTTAATTTGATGATACCTTTTAAAACCAACCAAAATCCTTTAAAACTGGAAATCAAAAGGTTACTTTCTTTGCTCATACTCTTTTTTTTCCCCCTTCAATCTAATAAAGGAAAATCCTTAATATTAATGGCAGATCTTGGAGTACTTCTAGGAATTAGAAAGATTGTTTTGTAATTTCATAGGAACATTCTGATCATTGATTTTGAGGTAGGACTGAGTGTATAGTACTTTGTAGGTGGGATGAGAGGAAAGTATGGGTGTGTGAGCTTTGTTTTCTTGTATCATCTCCCATCTTCACTAGCAATCAACTCACAGCCTGTTCTTTTTATACCTCCTCAGTTTGTGAGATTTAACCACCAGTTAATTAGTCCTATTTGTAGAATCTTGTATTTGTGTACAAATTGCAGATGATTTTTTCTTTTAGGTCACATAAAGCTTTGGACTACAGATGTAATGACATTTGAGATATGTATTGTTATGAGATGGTTGCTTGTAAGCAATAGAATTTGAAATTCTTAATTGAGCATAGAAAGTAGACTAGGCCTGAAAGGAAATAATCATGACTAAAAAAATTACTATTACTTATTTTTCTTTTGTGTCTTTTTAAATCTTTACACACTAAATGGGCTAGGACCAGGGTTGTATATATGAACATTCTTAAGAGTGGTTTATATGTCATTAAGGTTAAATCTGACATTTTCCAATAACATTCTTAAGTAATTCATTAGGAATCTTGCTTAAGGAAAAAATTCCCTAAAGTATAAAATCTCATATTTTCTCATAGATGTACTTGAGGGATACAATGGAACAATATTTGCATATGGACAAACATCCTCTGGGAAGACACACACAATGGAGGTAACATTTTATACTCTGTTTTTGGATATAGTTTCCAGTTTAGACAAGGTGTTTATTCATTATTTCTGGAGATATTTTACAATGCTTATGTATCTTTATTGGTTTTTCTCATACAAATAACATACAAGTAGCATTATTGTTCTAATTTAATTATTTCTTGAGTTTGAATAGTAAGGGATTACCTGTATTTGAAGATTATGTACAAACTTTGTCTTATTTGGTTAGCATTACCATAAAATAAACACATTGGAAAAAGTTTTAATTTCTTTCCATATAAAGCTACTCTGATTTTAACAGAGACTGGTCACTTGTGTTTGGGAGGTTTAATTACAAATGATCTAAATCTAGTAATTAAGTAAAGAGTTAAGATAGTTGGTAAACCATGTGTGTTTGAGATACAAATTATACATTTAACAATTAAATGAGATTTTTAGGTATTTGTAGAGTTATTTCTACAAAAAATAGCAACTACAGTTCTTATCCCTTATTGATTAAAATTATAGATATAAATTTTTTGGTTTTAATTCATCTTTTACAGTTTAAGAAGTCTAAGTTTTATTTTCTTTATAGGGAAAACTTCATGATCCAGAAGGCATGGGAATTATTCCAAGAATAGTACAAGATATTTTTAACTATATTTACTCCATGGATGAGAATTTGGAATTTCATATTAAGGTAAATTCCTTAAGGGAAGATTGTATTTTATCTTACACTCTCAATGACTTTTTTCCAAAATATAGTAAATGTTAGTTGCTCTCTTATAGTAAGTTTTTAAATTGCTCTTATGAATAGATACAGTTGATAGATCATTAGGTTTGTTAAACTTGTATTCTTGTTCATCTTGTTACTGGAAAGTGTAACACTGGTATATACCTTGGTTCTTGCATCTGGTGAGAGAACAATATTTGCATATGGACAAACATCCTCTGGGAAGACACACACGTCTTTCCAAGATGTGAAAATATAGTGAAAGTGATAGTAAAGTTTATTAGGAGAGGAGTACACTTTGAATAGACTGAAAGACAATATCAGCATTTGGAATTGGAATATTTATTGAGGAATTCTTAGCCCCAGGTCCAGTTGCCACCACTACCACCCCAGGAGGGGCTTCTGGGCCTGGATCTTTGTCTCGTTAAGTTAGAGTTACTATGTGAAACAACAGGCCCCTGGTCTGCTAACTGCCAGGGTTGTAGCTCTTGGGTCTGGGCCTTGGTCTTGTTAAGTTAAAGCATTACCTGTATAAAACTCCCAATCCTAGCTCATGTTTTAAGTGTGGTTTACTCTTCTGTAATGAAAGGATTAAGCTTTAGGTGAGTGACTAACTTCAAAGCATTCTGTGATATCCTGTGGCACTGAGAAGCTACTCTGACTTTAACAGAGACTGGTCACTTGTAGATTTGGGAGGTTTAATTACAAACGATTTTCTTCCTCTTGTGGCTACTGCTTAGGTCTAATTGCTACCTGACAACCTGCCACTAGATGACTTTAAATAAAATAATCTCAGTCTTTGTCCTCAGTCCCCCTCCCTGTGAAATAAATGAGTTTAATTATAAAACTCAAAGTTCCTAATACTCTTAACTGTCCAATACATTTTAGAAGATACATAATGGAAATTGCTTTCAATTTTAGTTTTTTAAGAAACTTAGCTAATTTGTGTCTTCCTTTTAGATGTGAACAATGGCTGGTTTATCTATAATTCTACCCTAGTCTAGACAATATCTGGCACTCAGACCTCGTTAGCTACTTAATAAGTGTATGTTAATGGGTTGATCTTTTTCTTCATTTCTTTGCCCTTTAGGTTTCATATTTTGAAATATATTTGGATAAGATAAGGGACCTGCTAGATGGTGAGTTAAATTCCTGCTCTTTAATCATTTTAAAATAACACCTGTTACATTTTCAGTAGTAGACATGGGACCATTTCAAAAGTAACTTATATTTAAAATTGACTTAAATTATATGAAGTAGACATTTAAATTTTTTTTGAAGTTTTAGTTGAATATCTTTTGACACTTAGAATAACTAGTTTAGAGCATATACTTACAGTTACTTCTTAAGGGATAATTATAGCATTTAGACTGGGAATTTGAAAACCAAAGTCCCAAGTTTTAGTTGTCTTATCAGCTGTTAGTTAGATATATTGTCCTTCATAGTACATTAAGCCCTTGAGCTTATTGTTTGTTTGTGTTTTTTTGTAAAATGTGTGTGGTAGGTTAAAGTGAACCTAAATTCTATATTGCTACATTGATTTCTATTTAATTTTTCTATTATGTCTCCAAGATTTTACTATATTTAATAGCAATACTTTTTTTGGTAGTAAAAGTAATAGGAAAGTTTATTAGGATAGGAATCTAGTATAGCAGGATAAAAGTAAGGAGAAATGGGGGGGGGGAGGAAGAATTTCCTGCTCCCCAAGCTTGCTCCCCAAGCAGGAAATTAGAGGAAAGACTCCTAATAGCAATACATACACACACACATTTTTTTTCACGATTAGTTTTTATTGTTATTAGACTGCTGAGGGAATCTTATCAATTATATTACTTCATAGCTGGTATTAGAATTCAGGACAATGTTACTAATACTATTTTTCTTTTTCAGTTTCAAAGACCAACCTTTCAGTTCATGAAGACAAAAACCGAGTTCCCTATGTAAAGGTACATACAAAATAATAGGCAATGTTTGTTAGGAAAAATCCTGTAATAAACTTTTTAAAGGATGTTACCAACACTTTTTAAATTATTTCACAGGGGTGCACAGAACGTTTTGTATGTAGTCCTGATGAAGTTATGGATACCATAGATGAAGGCAAATCCAATAGACATGTAGCAGTTACAAGTAAGTAGAATATTAACACTGGTTAGGGTATAAATCAGTCTCATATTCTTACAAATAAGTGGATAACTGGATATACTTATCCAATTGATTAATTGTAAGATATGTCTTATGTCAAATAATGCTTAAGGGGAAATTACTAGTAAGGGAACCTGTTGATTTCTAATTGTTTATTAATTTCATTGCAGATATGAATGAACATAGCTCTAGGAGTCACAGTATATTTCTTATTAATGTAAAACAAGAAAACACACAAACGGAACAAAAACTGAGTGGAAAACTTTATCTGGTTGATTTAGCTGGTAGTGAAAAGGTAAAGTCTTTTTCTATATATTCTGATAGATATTTAAACATTTTTGTAAACTTTACCTTAAATTGGGACTTACTCTCAGTATTCACTATTGTTTCTTAAAAACTTGTAAAATTGAGTTTGATAATCTGAAAATTTTAATTGTCAGTGTTTTGTGATTAAATAAATTATCTATTTCAAATTGCTGTCATTTGACTATATTTGTTCAACCAGTGATACTATCTTTGACTTAAGATGTATGTTTCTTATCATACATCTTTATACGTCATAATAAACTTTACTAAGCATCCATTTTTTATTTTCTGGTGTCTCATTTTATCCATATTGGAGATTAAAACTGTAACTGTTCTTTAGTCCTTTCCTGTTTTGTTGTGCACTTGTCCCTTAATATCCGTGGGAGATTGTTTTCAAGACGCACACACAAACCACCCCAGGGTTTAAGGCTCTTATATAAAATGGCATAGTATTTGCATATAACCTATGCATATCCTCTTGTATGCCTTAAATCATCTCTGGATTACTAATGAAACCTAATACAATATAAATGCTTTTTAAATAATTATTCTTTTGCTTAGAGATGAATGACAAGAATAAAAGTCTGAATGTGTTCAGTTAAAAACACAGGTTTTTTTTCCTGAATATTTCCATCCTCAGCTGGTTGAATTGGGATACAGGGGTTGACTGTACTTCTTTTCTTTGGATGTTTATTTCATTTATACTATATAATTAATTTTAGTTTATATTAAATCAGAATACATTTGAATGTTTTAATATGGACTTCTGTGACCATTATTGCTGTTTTGCTGATTTTGTTTCTTCTTATTAAAATGATGTATCTGTCCTCTTCTATTCAAGCCTTATTCACGTCTTTCAAAGACACACTCTAGTCTTGTGAATTCTGAGAAGCCATTCCTTCAACCAGCATTGCTTACTCTTCTCACCTATTTTTAACATAGGTCTTTAGACATTTACATTTTTTAAAAAAGAAGTACGTTTGCTTACAGAGTGTGTTTAAATTATTTTTTTTTTAATTTTTATTTTATTGTCTTGTTTTTTAGCTAGTTACATTACTATTATGCTTTAGCAAATTGTAGGTTTCTCTTTTCTAATGTAGCAGAGACTTAACAATTTAATGAAAACTGCAAATTTACAGGTAAATTGGCTATTTCAAGAGTACAAGCTAAAACTAAAATTTAGTGCCTCCTTAATCACATTCTTAATGCAACTAGTTTGACCAAGTTCTTAGAAGAATTATTCCAAGAATAGTAGTACCTTTAGAGTAAATGCTTGACAAATAGCACCATGAAGCTTTTGTATTTATAAAGTGTAAGGAAAATCATCTTAAACTTGTAATTTTGTTTCATTATTGTGGATCTTATTTGTAGGTTAGTAAAACTGGAGCTGAAGGTGCTGTGCTGGATGAAGCTAAGAACATCAACAAGTCACTTTCTGCTCTTGGAAATGTCATTTCTGCTTTGGCTGAGGGTAGTGTGAGTATACGTATCTCTGTTATTTTATGGGGAATTGTTTAATATAGATGTATATGAATGCATGAGTGTGAGAATGAGAAACTTACTACAATAAGTTGTCTTTTTAAGAGTTTTTTTGGAGGGGTGGGATGGTAGTGGGAGGTGAACTCAGGGCCTCATAGTTGCTAGGCAGGTGCTCTATCACTTGAGCTACACCTCCATCTCTTGATATGTTGGTTGTTTTTGAGATAGGGTCTCGCTTTATGCCTGGTCTGGACCAACCACAATCTTTTTTGTGCTTCTTTGCATAGCTGGGATGATAGGTATCCACCCTGCTCAGCCATTGATTGAGGTGGGTTGTCAAGAATTTTTTGCCCACAGTGGCCCGTGTGATCTTCTTGATCTCTGCCTCCTGAGTAGCTAGGATTACAGACCCAGCAAAAATTTTTAATATTTATGTATCCTAGTTTCCATCTTAATATCAAGCTTGCTAAAATAACTAAAATTGCTTTGTAATTACTTAAAGTAACAAGTTTACATGACACAGTTTGTTATATAATAGCCTATTGATGGTCTACATTTTCTTTCTTTGTTTTTATATGTAGACATATGTTCCATATCGAGATAGTAAAATGACAAGAATTCTTCAAGATTCCTTAGGTGGTAACTGTAGAACCACTATTGTAATTTGCTGCTCTCCATCATCATACAACGAGTCTGAAACAAAATCTACACTCCTATTTGGTCAAAGGTTTGTTGTTAAGAAATATAAAACCTAAGTATAGTAGATTTCTTGTTGTCAAAGAAATTACTATTCAATCCAGTGCATGTTGAGAGTGTGCTACATCTTCTACTTTTTAATTGAGAGACAAATAATAGGAGCTAGGTCCATATTTTAAGCTGCTTAGGTTTGAGTGAAGTTTTCATTGGCTTTAAAGTGGATTATTTAACTTTTCATACATTTTACAGTCTATTGTTAACTGTAGTCAAGTTTGTATGAGAAACTTTAATTCACCATTAATGAAAATAAGAATTTGAATTTAAAGTAAAAGACTGACAAAAAAATAATCCTTTTTTAAATATAACAGTTAAGCCTGTTATATTTTATGAGTTCAAATAATCTATATGAAATGGTTAGTTCAGGAAAATCAATAATGATCACCACAGACCAGTGCTAATTAATTTTCTTAATTCATTCTTGCAAATGAATTGAGAAAACATCCTAACCTTGTTCTTTATTTTTAGTGGATTATTTTTGTTTTTGTTTTTGCTTTCACAGTACTGGGGCTTGAACTCAGGGGCTAGGGCCTACACCTTGAGCCTTTTTTTACAAAGAGTTTTTTCAAGATAGGGTCTTGAAGAACTATTTGCCTGGGTTGGCTTTGAACTGCAGTCCTCCTGATCTCTGCCTCCTAAGTAGCTAAGATTACAGGCATGAGCCACTGGTGCCTGGCATTTTTTTTTTTTTAACAACTATTCAAAGATTTGGGGGCTTACTCAAATTCAGTTAGGTTTTGAATTAGCACTATACATAATAGCTTTTAGTATTTAGTTTTAAGAGAAAGCTGGACAAAAATTGGACAATTTAACTATTAACCATGTTTACATATATTACTTAGAGATGACAAAAATAATTTCAGTCATATCCTGTTTTTCCTACAATTACATCTCTTAGGGCCAAAACAATTAAGAACACAGTTTGTGTCAATGTGGAGTTAACTGCAGAACAGTGGAAAAAGAAGTATGAAAAGGAAAAAGAAAAAAATAAGACCCTAAGGAACACCATTCAGTGGCTTGAAAATGAGCTTAACCGATGGCGTAATGGTAATAACTTAAGAATTTCTCATTTTAAGTTTGTTAAATACAGATTCAGGGCTATTTTGTAAAGATGAAGTTTTGATAAGGAATAAAATGACAAGGTCGTATGACAAGAATGGGGTGGCAGGTATTCCAAATACTCAAATTTCAGAGACAGAACTGAAATTACGTGCTTGTACATCTAGTACTTGGGAGGTGGAGGCAGGAGGATTATGAATTCAAGGCCATCCTGAACTATATAGAGAGCTCCCAGAGAGCTTTGGCTATGTAGCAAGACTCTTTATCTCATCAAAAAAAAAAGAAAGAAACAAGCAAAAACACCAATTTGTATAACTATTCACATGAATATACCTTCACAAGAGCTAAGAAACCAGCTGAAAAGTCACAGTGCTTGTTTGTAGCATAACAGTAAGAAGGAACTTAATGAAGAAGACAGGAAGGACAGCTTTGTATTATCTGTGTGACATCCATCCTTAACCACAGGTGGCATAGAATGTGGAGAAAGAAAAGGAAGTGAGCATAGGCTGTTGCCTTAGACCCTGGCACTGTACAAGCTCTCACTACCCCATACTCCAGACAGGTGCCCACAAACATAAGTCCCAGGCTTTAAGCCTATGAAGTAGACTTGATCTCCAACTTCAGTAGTCCTGGGCTCTGGGAAGAACTCTGAGGCCCCAGGTTTCAAGTCTGCCCCACTGCAGTGATCCTGAGCTTCAGAACCAAGCAGCCTGCCCAGATCTCTGAATTGACTGACTGGTGATGGGCTTTCCTAGACAAACCTCATTTGTAAGGACGAGAAGAAGTAGCTACTTTTTTTTTTTTTTTTTTTTGACAGTGGTCTCACACTTGCTAGACAGGTGCTCTACAGCTAGCCACTTTGCCAGCCCTTTTTTGTGTTGGGTATTTTTGAGATAGGATCTCATGAACTATTAGAGCCATGCTCCTCCTGATCTCTGCCTCCTGAGTACTTCTTTAAATGTGAAGAAATCAAAGCATAATTACAAAATTTAGTCAAGGAAAGATGGTATCACCAAAAGGATAAAATAAAGTGCCAGTGACTGACTTAAACAAATGAAGGTAAGAGAACTGCCTGACCAAGAATTCAGAATAACTATTGTAAGAAAGGTCTATGAACTAGAGGAAAATACAGAGAGACAATTCAATGAAATGAAAAGGGCAATGAGTAACCATAATGAGAAATTTAGCAGAGAAACTGAAGAAATTCTTAAGGTCAAACAAATCCTGAAACTAATAACTACAGTGGGGAAGGAACATCAGCAGCCGAGTTGACCAGAGCAGAAGAAAGAGTGAATTTAAATACAGATTATTTAGAAATACATAGGGGAAAAAGGGATGAAATCAAGTAAAATTGAAATTAGCTTTAGATGTGTAGATTTTTGCTAACATTTTGTTATCTTATTTCAGGGGAGACAGTGCCTATTGATGAACAGTTTGATAAAGAAAAAGCGAACTTGGAAGCTTTCACAGTGGATAAAGACATTACTATTACCAATGATAAACCAGCAGCCACAATTGGAGTTACTGGAAGTTTTACTGATGCTGAAAGAAGAAAGTGTGAAGAAGAAATTGCTAAATTGTACAAACAGCTTGATGACAAGGTACTATTTTTCTTAGGTCTGATTTTGTATTAGAATGTTATTGATACAGGTAGGCATTTTAATCTTGATTTTGGACTTCAGTTTTTGAGGCCTTATGATCTAAATATACCTTCCTTGATTACTGTTACTTTTAAAAAATCATGTGTTAATAGAAACTGTACTCTTGATGTATAGGCACAAGTAGGAGGAATGTGAATTTGAGACTAGCCTAGGGGAAGTAAGCATGACCCTATCTCAAAAATTAAATAAGAAAGAAATATAAGGATTAGGGCTGTGGCTCAGTGGTAAGAGTGCTTCTTTAGTATGCAAAAAGCCAGGAGTTCAGTCCCCAGTGATGTTTGGCATCAGATCATTAGAGTCTTAATGAAATGACAAAAGAGAGGGAGGGAAATAGAGTATAGTGGGAATTATACCTTCTTGCTTTGCTTAAATCAATAATGCCAGTAGTGTGAAAACAACAAATTAGGAATTTAATAAAAAGGAAGACAGGACAAGAGGGTAGAGATCAGAAGAAAATAAATTTAGTATTTTTATGTATTTTAAGCAAAGATGTTTGAAGTGACTGTGTGACCATTATTTTCAATAGTAGCTTTAAATGGTTTTTTAAGCCCTTTTTTGTAATGTATTTAATGAATGGCTTTTATAAACAAGCCTTTTTTCCTTATTGTATGGTAAGTATGTTACCATTGTTGATAATTGAAAGAAATTCCTTCTTGTGCATGCTAGGTAAGTACTCTAACATAAACATAAAATTTTCTTAAGAGAATTTGGAGAAATGATTCTGAACTATTTTTGGGGGGAGCAATAATTTCAGGATTTATGATTAGAAACAAAACTAGGTTATAAGCTACTTTGTTAACTGGAAACTTTAAAATTTTTAGGATGAAGAGATTAACCAACAGAGCCAGCTGGTAGAGAAACTGAAGACACAAATGTTGGATCAGGAAGAGGTGAGTTGACCCAAGTGTAGTGATTCATACCTATAATCCCAGCTACTCAGCAGGCATAGCCAAAAGGGCTGGGGCATGGCTCAAGTAGTAGAGCACCTGCCTAGCAAGTGGCAGACCCCGAGTTCAAACCCCACAATACCACCAAAAGAAACAAGAAAAATGAAGAGGTGAGTCGAATACCTTTCATGATTTTGTCCACAAAAGCTTTATTGTCATTATCATGTGTAAATGATAAAGGAATCTAGAGAGCTGAGAATTTAAAATTTTTAGAATATGTGCATGCTTTATTGTGCAAATATTACATGAGATCAGTATCAGTTGAAGTACAGTTAACTTCATTTTAAGATTTTTTTTTTGTTTGCTTTTTGGTTTTGTTTATTTTTAAAGCTTGTGTTTTAACTCACCTGAGGAAGAGAGGAGAGCATTTAAAAATATTTTTGCCAGGAGCAATAACACATGCTTATAATCCTTCCACTTGGGAGGCTGAGGCAGGAGGATTGTAAGTTCGAGGCCTACCTGGGCGAAACCTCCTGGACTTCTTAACCATCTTCTACTTCACTTGTGTTGCAGTATAATGTTGTTTATCATCTTGTTCTCCCTTAGACATTTCTTACTGATCTGTGAGAAAGACTTTTAACAGTGGCCTGAGTAACCTAGACTCTCCCCTAATAAATATTTACATACAGATAGGAGGGAAGAAGTATATTAAACATAGGAGGGGTTTTTTGGCAGTACTGGGGGATTGAACCCAAGGCCTTGTGCATGCTAGCTAACTAAGTAAGTGTTCTACCATAAACTTTTTTTTTTTTTTCTTACATTCATTCACTCAAACATAAGATACAAGTCTGAAGGATTATTAAGGGAAGAAAATACTGGCACTTTTTTTTTTTTTTTTTTTTTTGGGGCAATACTGGGATTAGGATCTGAACTCGGGGCCTCCAGTTGAGCCACTCTGCCAGCCCTTTTTTGTGATGTGGTGTTTTTGTTTGTTTGTTTTTAAATAGGATCTTGTGAACTATTTGCCCAGGCTAGCTTCAAACTGATTCTCCTGATCTCTGCCTCCTAAGTAGCTAGGATTACAACAGGCCTTAGCCTCCAGCACCCGGCAAGCATGTTGTTTTTTTGATCCCATTGATTTTGCTTTAAATAATTTTTTCAATATAGCTTTTTGTGGGAATGAGTATGTCACGTGAATAAAGCCACTTTTTAGGGCTAAGGATATAGCTCAATGATAGAGTGCTTGCCTCACATGTGCAAGGCTCTGGATTTGATCCTCAGCACTGCCCGGCTCCCCCCACCAAAAAAAAACCCTTTTTACTTTTTTACCATTGTCCACATCCAGTCTGTTCATTTCAGCCATCTGTCCACATTTCTCTTTCCCTGTTTCCTAGTTTGGATCCTCATTTTATCTTGCCCAGTGCAGCAGTGAGATTATTGGGGGAAAGAAAAAAAAGTCCCTATTTAAGTTTTTTTTTTGGGGGGGGTGAGGATAGATGAAGACTGCACCATTACAGCAAGAGATGTCCATCCTCAGTGACATTAATTCTGGTCAGTTCATCTTTATACTTAAATCAACTATAGCATTGTTCCTCAAAGAGACTGGACATTTGAGGTTGGGTAATTTTTTTGCCATTCTGTCGTGTGCATTATGGGACATTTAGCATCCCTGACTCCTAAATCTGCTATCAACATTTCCATAATTTATCATTCCCACACATTTCCAAATATCTCTAATAAAAAAGTCATGGGCCTGAATGATTGTAGTAGCCTCTTGACTAGTCTCTTGTCTTTCCTCCAGTTCAAATTTATATGCTTGATACCAAGTTTCTCTGAGGCATGTGGCATACATCTCACCTTAGTTGCCCAAAACAGATCTGTGTATTTGTGTTTCTGTGTTGTGTACATTATTCATGAGTCTAGAATGCCTTTTATTACATTAATTTGCACTTGACTAAAAAATCTATTTGTCCTAACCCACTTTTCCATGAATATTTTCCAGAAATACCTTCCAATCCTATACTACCAAATGCTTTATCTGTCCTGTCTTTTTTTTTTATGGCTCTTCTTATATTACCTCTATTTTTGTACCTGTCTTCTTTTACTAGACCTTCAAAGGCAAAGTGTTATTTTACTTCCTTTCTATCTCCCCCAGTGTGTTCTAGCACAGTGCCTGCACATAGTAGGTATTCAGTGAATCTGTGGAATCAGTAAATGTTGGCATACTCAGCATCCACATTTCTTTTGTGCTTAGAAAAGGTGGAGCAAATGGGCATTTTTTAAATTAATACTTTTTGTAAAAATCGATATTTTATTCTTCCATATAGCTTCTTGCATCTACCAGAAGGGATCAAGACAATATGCAAGCTGAACTGAATCGCCTTCAAGCAGAAAATGATGCCTCTAAAGAAGAAGTAAAAGAAGTTTTACAGGCCTTAGAGGAACTTGCTGTTAATTATGATCAGAAGTCTCAGGAAGTTGAAGACAAAACCAAGGAATATGAATTGCTTAGTGATGAATTGAATCAGAAATCGGTAGGATACAGTTCTGTGTTTTTTTGTAGTACTTTAGAACAATCAACATTAATTGGAAAAATATTTTGAGTAAATTATTTCTATATAAGCTTGAGGTATTGATAGCATCAGTTTTAGGGAACTCAGATCTCAACCTCAGTTCCCCATATATATGAAGCCTTGTAGGTAGAAGAATCATCATTTTAGTTCATAAAGGTACATTAATATATAATTTAAATGCTAATTTAAAAGATGTTGACTATTCCTAATGTTTAAAACAAAAAAGTTAAAACCTCCTAGTTGCTTCATAGAGCTATTAGTTCAAACTACAAGTTAAGAAAGGCACATTAAAAGTAAATTATGTTTAAATGAATTAAGAGTAGTCATAAGGATATATAACTTCATGTAACTTATGTTTTGTTCACTGTAGTGGGGACTATTCCACCATGTGGAACAGTGCCTTCCCAGCACAATGTAGTAGGATCTTATGGTCTCTAGTAGTTTGCTTTAGGGCAGTGATTGCCAACTTCTAATAGTGATGCCTGGAAGCAGTATATAGCTAGGATTGTTTCAGCATTGCCATTTTTATGTTTTGTTGTTTTTAACTGTAGCTTCTCATTGAGAAATCAGCACCTAGAGTTGAGTTTATCATTGCCCCACCCCCTGGTTCCTAATCTGCATTTACTTGTCTAAAGGAAAGTGTCAGCACAATGAAATAGCACATTTAAAAGGTTTCCTATCAGAATCCAGGAAGGGTGGGAGACAAAAACCACCTGCCAGGCGGCAATGACTGAGCACAGGCTGGGCTTGAAATGATGATTCTCAGGCCTCAGACTTCTGAGTGCTGGGATTGCAGGCAGCACCACCAAGCAGGGCCATTAATTTCAATAGCCATGTTTACCTGTTCATGCATTTGCACTACAAGGGTAGAGTTGAAGAGTTGTGACCCACCAAATCTAAAATCTTTACCATTTGTCTCTTCACAGAAAATGGTCACCTACCATTGATCTATCACATTGTTTGTGATGATAAAATCATAGACAGATATAAAATTTTTAAAAAAACCTTTTTCTAGCAGTTAAGAAAAAAAAAAGGTTTCCTATCCCTGATGAGTTTGTTCCCTTTTTTTTGGTAGTACCTGGGCTTAAACTCAGGGCCTACATCTTGAGTGCCTTCACCAGCCCTTTTTTGTGTTGCGTATTTTCCAGATAGGGTCTCTCAAACTATTTGCCCCGGCTGCCTTTCAACTGCAGCCCTCCTGATCTCTGCCTCCTGAGTAGCTAGGATTACAGGCATGAGCCCCCCAGCACCTGCCTCGTTTTCCCTTTTAAATCTCCAAAGTTAATTGTTTAAATTTGATGCCATAGAGATTCAAGACATAACTCTTCCCAAGTTGCATCATTAGCAAACCTAATTGCTATTTGGTAGGAAAACTCTGGATGTTGGTCCTTGTCCACTGATTGTGGATTTTAAGACAGTTATAATTGTGTTGTGGAGCTGAAGTCAAAGCTACCTTGTTAGTAAAATGAGTTAGAAACCCCTGGCATTTACCATCTTTTTATATTTTTAAGCAGTATTATGGTTCAACCCTCAGAGAAAATGCCTGGCCATTTAGACATTTATGGTGGAAGTGTGCCATATTATGAGACTTGCAGGAAAGCTAGTGCGTCATAAATTAAACTGAGTGCACTACGCTACGGAGATCAAAAGCTTAAGGAAATTACTAACCAACAGAAGAAACGGGTTGAAATGCGGGCAGGTGTGGTAGCACACATCTGTAGTCTAGCTAATTGTGAGGGAGAGGTCAAGAGGATCTCAGTTTGACCCAACCTGGGCAAAAACTTATCATGATCCATCTCAGTAAACAATCCAAGGGTGATGGGTCACATCTGTGATCCCAGCCACATGGGAGGCATAGGTAGGAGAATCGCAGTCTAAGTCCAGCCCTAGACCAAAAAAAATCTAGGAGACCCTGTCTGAAAATAACTAGAAGAGAGAAGGGATGGGGGAGATGAAATGGTGGAATAAATATATTAAGGTGAATATGTTGCATTAAAAATGTGTCATCTCAGTAGTTTTAAAGTGGGCCAAATTGAATTGGACTTACCAAAATTTGGCAACTTTGTAGTTGGTAAGCTAGCTATTTTAAATGTACAGTTAACAGTAAGTAAACTCAGTAATACTACTTTATCACTAGCTTGTGCTTATATTACAGCATCAAAAGTAGCCATAGTTATTATTCAGTGTATTCTTTTTAGTGAGAAAATAGATGAAAAAAGCATACTGACCACATAGTAAATTTTGTTCCATTCTAACATTAATTTGCTCAGACTTAAAAGTTTCAAAAATAAATTGGGATATAGCAATAAGTGATATCTAGTTAATCATATCTAATTAATTTTCAAGTTTCCCATTTCTAGGAAAAAACACCCAATATAAAAAATGTAGTGCAATTAGTCAGACCACCTGTTCTGAATGGGATATAAGATAGCTACTTTGCAAAGTCTGTGAAATCTAAAATATTTTTTAAGTTTGAGTTTGGAGCTAACCCAGAATTTAATAGATAGATTAAAAACATGAGATAAAACACATGGTCCTGTAAGGGCTAGGTGGAAAACTTGAAATACCCATGAGTACTTCAGTTGAGTTTTCATCTGTTTGTTTTTGGTTCTATAGGCAACTCTAGCAAGTATAGATGCTGAGCTTCAGAAACTCAAGGAAATGACCAACCACCAGAAGAAGCGAGCAGCTGAGATGATGGCATCTTTACTAAAAGACCTTGCAGAAATAGGCATCGCCGTGGGAAATAATGATGTGAAGGTAAATAAAACAGCTGAATAATAAACAGAATTGTCTGTGTTCAACTCGTATTTTCGTTTACTACTTAACTCTTTACAACGTTCTAAAGATTTTGCTTTTAGAAATCATCTTAATTACCATATGTAAAAGTATTTGATTGGAACATCAGTGAGGGTGCTTGGGAAAACTCATAAATAAAGTAGCCTGTGATTTCTTGAAATGTTTAAATAAAGAAAAATGGTGAGCAATGCATAATTAATTCTTTTTTAAAATTTTAACGTGAAATGTTTCAAATACAATAGTAAAAATATATGAATATCTATATATACAATAGTAAAGAATATATATGAATATAACAGTTATAATTTTTTTAAATTTTGCCACACTCACCCTATGCCTTGTTTTTGTTTTTTTTGAAATGTGGTCTGCTTATGTTGCCCAGACTGGCCTCCAACTTACTGGCTCAAGTGATCCTCCTGCCTTGGCTTCTCAAGTAGTTGGGAACTACAGGCAGGGGCCACCATTTCCAGCTATCTGTGCCTTTTATTTTATCCTTTTAAAGGAGGCTAATACTGGTTATGTTAGCATTAGATACTAGGTAAAATATATTAGTGATCCAGTAGACATAATAGATTTAATAGCTTTGAGTAGAAAAGCAAACTAAGACTTAACTGCAAAAACGTGCACATAACATGAAAAAGTTGCTGTTTGCTGAGGGAGGCAAGGATTCTTGTGAGTCCTATAATTTCCTCATACTGACTCACCTTTGAAACAAGGGAAATAATGGATGGCTTATCTTGCTCTCTTCACTATCAGCCTGAACAGCCTGCTCTAACCATTTTTATGGTAAAGTTATGTGGAATGTAAAGACACAAGGAAATCTTGTGCTATAGAAAATTAGATTTCAACTTGGCCAAAGGGAAGAGAATCTTAGTGATACTGGAATGTTGTTCCTCAGTTAGTGGACTGACGTTGTCAATGATTAAAGACACTAGACCAGGAGTTAAGAGTTAAAAGAAGAAAATTACATTTCTTTCATACCACTGAACACTAGAAAGGTAGTGTTCAAATTTTGCTTTGACGATTCACCAACTTCCTTTAGGAAAAAAATCTTTTTCACTATACCATTATTGCATTTTGAAAGTAAGTCAGTCTTTCAGATAGGTATTTTAAAAAACAGAGGTGCTTAAGTATTTTTTTTTTTTACAGGTAATTTTTTTTGATAAGGTCCACTCTTTTTTTTTTAACATTACATTTCAGTTTTTGTGTTTTACAGTTGTATGGATTTTTATAAATGTTACAGCTTCACCGTTTTGGTACTGTTCAAAATAATTTGACACTGTAACAAATCTCTTACGCTTAACTACCCAGAACCTCTAAGTATGTAGCCCAGGGTAGACTGGAACATATTTTGTAGTCCAGGCTTACAGCCTTTCCAGTGCTGGGATTACAGTGTGCCACCACGCATGACTGTGTACTAGCTTTTTAGTGTTACTTTTTTTTTTTTTTTAATCAAATAATTATATTTTTGTGACTGGATCTCACTTTGTAACCCTGGCTGGCCTTAAACTCATAATCCTTCTGCCTCCATACCCTCAAGTGCTGGGATTGCAGGTTTGTGACCCCTAACCCAGTTGTTCACTAAGTTTTTAAGAAACTCTTTAAGTGTCTTCCAAAGTAGCTGCAGCATTTTGCATTTTTACCAGCATTGGAGGAGAGTTCTTGATTGTTGAATCTTGAAAGTATTTGGTGTCAGTTTTTTGGATTTTAGCCATTCTCCTGATGTGTAGTGTTATTTCGTTACTTTAATTTGCAGTTTGGTTGTTTGATTTCTTATTATTTAAAGAGTTCTTTTATTATGTTTTCAAAATAAGTCCTTGTGGCTTCGCTTTTTTTTTTTTTTTTTCCTCTTAACAGTATCTTTTGCAGAACAGGTGCGTTTTATTTTAATGGAGTCTAACTTGGCAGCTTTTTTCATGGATTGTGGTTTTGATATTTTGTTTAAAAACTCATCACCGAGGCCACCTAGATATTCTCTTATTTTTGCATTTACATTAAGGTTTGTTACGCATTTGGAGTTAATTTTTCTGTAAAGTGTACAGTCTACATTAAGACTCATTTTTTACATTTGGATGTGATCTTACAGCACCATTTGTACCTTGTACCATTGAATTATCAGAGTTACATTTTCAGATCTACTCATTGTTTTTGTATGGATCTATTCCTGAGCTCTCTAGGATATTCCAATGACCTAGTTGTCTTGTCTTTTGTTAGTATTACACAGTAACCCACCCCACCCACACACCCCCATCGACAGTTTTGCTTTTCCATGGCTTCAGTCACTTGCAGCAAACCATGACCTGAAAATATTAAATGTTAAATCCCAAAAGTAAATAATTTATAAGTTCTTAATATTTTTTATGGTACATTGTTAGAACTTATAATTGTTATAATTTCTATTTTATTAGCTACTGTTGTTAATCTCTTGCTGTGCCTAATTTAAAACTTAAATTTCATTATAGATACGCATGTTCAAAAAAGAATATAGCATTGCAAGGTTCAGTACTATGCAGGGTTTTAGGCATCCATGGAACATCTTGAAATTTATCCCTCAAGGATAGAGGTGATGATCACACTATCTTGATTGTACAATATCTTTAGTGTCAGTCTTGTTCATCTTTAGTATTGTGTTAGCTATACAGAGTTCTTTAGTTCTCCATATAAACTTTAGAACCAGTTTATCAGTATTCACAAAATAAGATGCTATGGTTTTCATTGAAATTATATTCCTTTATAAGTATTTTGGAGTTTCCTTATAGATCATGTGTTAATGTAAATGGCACTATGTATTAGGTTTTTTGGGGAGGAGGGGCAGTGCTGGGGATTGGGCCCAGCCGCCTACATACTTGACAAGTGCTCTACTGCTGAGCTACGTCTCTACCCCATGTGTTTTAATTCTATGTTACAGTTATTCATTGTTGGTTTATAGAAGATGGTTGACTTTTATATTAATCTTGTATCCTCAAACCTTTTGGTAGTAGTTTATTCATCAGGAGTTTTTCTTGAATTCGTATTGGCAGAAAAAAAAAAGACTTCTTTCTTCCCAAGCTCCATTTGTAATTTTGGCATTGAATTTTTTTTTTTTTCTTTGAGACTGAGTGCCATTTTGTAGTCCATATTGGCCTCAAATTCAAGATCATCCTGCCTCAGCCTCCCAAGTGTTGAGATTACAGGTGTGTGCCACCACACCTGACTGATGTTGAATATTGTAGTGGAATTTTTTAATGAAGGCCCATAAAAGTTTAGGAATGTACAGTGACTACAGTTCTTCCTTGTTGAACTTAAAAATCATCCTATCCATTCTACCTAAACATCCTCTGACTTGTTCAGTTTTAATCTGAACAAACACAAATTATCATTGATTTTATAGAAGAGGTCTTAGGGGGTAGAATTCATCAGATTGTTTTTAAGTTTATATTCACTTTTTTTTGTAGGCACACATTAACATTATTTTAAGTTGTAAAACAGGAAAGGCAGGCAGGGTTTGGTGCATACCTATAATCCAGGCTTTCAGGAGACTGAGGCAGGATGTTCATGAGTTCAAGGCCAACCTGGGCTAATACCAAGACCCTGTTTTAAAAACACCAATATGAAAAAAAAGCTAAAAAATTTTAAGCTCTACCTAACCCTTTATTAAAGCAATAAAAAGAAAAGGTAAATTTCAGATTTCCTGTGTCTGTTGAGCAATATTAAAATTATTTTGTTACAAAATTTTTTAGTTTAATTGGAAAAACAAACACTGAGCATCGTATTTTTTCTCGCAGCAACCTGAGGGGACCGGCATGATAGATGAAGAGTTCACTGTTGCGAGACTCTACATTAGCAAAATGAAGTCAGAAGTAAAAACAATGGTGAAACGCTGCAAGCAGTTGGAAAGCACACAAACAGAGAGCAACAAAAAAATGGAAGAGAATGAAAAGGAGCTGGCAGCGTGCCAGCTGCGAATCTCTCAAGTATGTGTGCTACATCTTTAAAATAGCCACATAAGTGGGTTTTCAGACACTACTATACATTATTTTCAGGAATGTAAAAAAGACTTAATTTAGTTATTTATGAAATTGTTTTCCTAGTCTAGCACCAGTATAACTTGAATGATTTAACTGGGTTTATTTGCCAACAAATGTATATATGTACATACATACATATGTGTATATGTAGAACTTTACTAGAAAGATGAAACTCATGTGACTATTGAAGATTTCTAAAGAATTTTAGGGTGGGCAAAACTTCCAGGGACCAATTTTGCAGCTTTGGCAACTAAGAAATATAGTCATTCACCAATGATAGGGATTTTCAAGGAGGAAAGGGAGTATTGTTGGGTGAAAGTCACTATACAGACATTATTTCATATTGCAACCTTACCACCTTTGTTTGCAACTGGCCTAAGGTGTACTGTATAATTGGTTAATTTTTTTTGTTTTACATTTAAATCTGGCCCTGAACATTTTGGAATGAAAAATGCCTTCAGATTTATCATATACTTAGATATAGCAATAAAATTTTCTTACTTTCAGATATTCTTAACAACAAAACGTGTGCATGAAATATTTTTCTCACTTAATGTTTCTTCCAAAAGCATGAAGCCAAAATCAAGTCATTGACTGAATACCTTCAAAATGTGGAACAAAAGAAGAGACAGCTAGAGGAATCTGTTGATTCCCTCAGTGAAGAACTAGTCCAGCTTCGAGCACAAGGTATTTTCTTTCAAGTGTTGATGAGTTATATTTTTATTAATTCTTTTTTATCTTAGTATAATTAAATGTTGTATGCTTACATTCACAGATAGAAAATAGGAATGTGAATAACAGAATGACAAACAAATCATGCACTTCATTGTGCCTTTGAAATCTTTTTCAATTGTGTTTGAATATGTAAACAACAAATCTAGGAATTTCTCACAAAGTTACGAAGTTGTGTGTGTGTGTAAATATTAACAAACAGGGTTAATAAACAATTTCATTTCTCTTCCATAATATCACAGTACATATAACTAAGTGTGCTAGTCAGCCCATTTGTTTCTTGGTTTATGTGAGGAAATCTTAAGGCTTATTTTACTCCTTTATTTTCTTTCTACCTAAACAGAGAAAGTCCATGAGATGGAAAAAGAGCACTTAAATAAGGTTCAGACTGCAAATGAAGTTAAGGCAAGTTTGTTGTTGTATTGGATTCTAATGGCTTTAATCCATCATTATTAATTTTGATTAGTCTGACTTTAAATACCTTTCTTTCCTCCAAATTTTAGCAAGCTGTTGAACAACAGATCCAGAGTCACAGAGAAACTCATCAAAAACAAATCAGTAGTTTGAGAGATGAAGTTGAAGCAAAGGAAAAACTTATAACTGATCTTCAAGAGTAAGTATTAGTAAACTAACTCAGAAATATTGTCTTTTTAGATAGGAAGAAATAATAGGTTGTTAATGGGCAACATATCATTAGAAACTAGCCATTTTAAAATATAATTTTGATTTGGAAATAAGAATTTTTTAAGTAGCAATTCTAAGGTATAAGTCAGATTTTTGAAAATTTTTCTTAAGGCCTTTTGGTCTAAATATCCAGTAAAAAGAGAATAATCTCCAGCTTAGACTTCTTATTGCAAATAGTTGCCAGAGTTTCTAAATCATTTAAAGCAAGACTTAATTGCAAATTATAGATGTTTAAAGTTTTTTTCTCTTAATAGAAGCTGTCTTAGTTTATTTAGAAGCCATTTTCTCTCCCTCCATAGCCACATTCACAGACATAGAAATTACAGAAATTACAATGCTCTGCAATGATTTGAGTAAGAACCAGAGAAGAATAACAAAGAAAAACAAAATGATGATGAATTTGAGATGTGGGTCTTATTATTAATACCTAGTGAATGTAGGGATGAGGATTCCAGGAGCAGAATAAATTCATGATTTCAAATCAAAATATGAAAAATATTGTATGGATGAAAGTAGCCAGGTCATCCCCTCCCTTTCTTAACCTGATGGAGTAAGATAACAGGTATTTGAAAGATGAAATTACAGAATTTGAGAGTTCCAAAAATTTTTGATAATGGCAACTCAGAAAACTATTAAGTTGAACTTATGTTTTTCCCCCCTCCCTTTTGTTAGCCAAAACCAGAAAATGATGTTAGAACAGGAACGACTAAGAGTAGAACATGAGAAATTGAAAGCTACAGATCAAGAAAAAAGCAAAAAACTACATGAACTTACGTGAGTAATTGTTTTAATTAAAACTTAAAAATTAAAAATATGTATTAGAAGATTGCAAGCATTAGCCTTGTATCAGTTTTCTAAGTTGGTTTGATTTCTGTCTAAAAATGTGAAATGTGTATTTGTACTTTTGTGAAGGCAAGGTCTTATATTTCAGTGGTGGTCAAGATTTAGATTCCTGCTGGGCTAAGGGTATGGCTTAAATGGTAGAATGCTTGTCTAGCAGTCACAAGGCCTTGTGTTCAAACCCCTAGTAGTGTCAAAAACAAAAAAGGTTTTCCTGTCACCATGTTGCTTCAGTAGCCCATCATGAAAACGAACCTAAAATGTGACATTAAGTAATGTGGAAAATCTTAGGATCTGCTGCATAAACTGATTACAATTTTCCACATACCTGAAATTATAAGAGACAATTTGGAAATGAATTACTATTGTTAGAAAGATTGCACCCTCAGGACCAGTTCAGAGTTGATTTTATAAAGATTTTGCTGAGGTCTGCAGACGTAGCTCAGTGGTAGACTGCTTGCCTACCATGCTTAAGGGGAAAAAAAAGATTGGGTACTGGTGGCTCACGCCTGTAATCCTAGCTACTCAAGAGGCAGGTATCAGGAGGACCATGGTTCTAAGCTAGCCCAGGCAAATAGTTCTTGAGATCCTGTCTTGAAAAAAACCTATCACAAAAACAGGATGGTGAGTGGCTCAAGGTATAGGCCCTGAGGTGAAACCCTAGTACAACAACAAAAAATTTGGTAAATTGTATCTGTAGTTTTGTTTAGAATAAGCTTAATGTGAAATGTTTTAATCTTTTTTAAATTATGATATCTGTAATTCCCAGTTATCAGTATCATTTTAGATAAATTGCAGTTTATTATATGTGGCATATTTTAAAATAAAAATTTAAGCCATTCCTTATTCTTTGAATTCTACAAACTAAATCATTCACATAGCTTGAATTGCTGTGACAAGGGTTTTTCCCTAATATACTATAGATTTAAGAAACTGTAAAGCATATAAAAATTTCTTTGAAAGATTACAGTATATGTAAACTATTCATTAAATATAAGCATCTTTATTTGAATTTTAATAATTGATCCTTTCAGATAAATATTTGATTCTCATGAGAAATAAAACTAGAATTTATGGATTTGAGTTGAACATATATATGTATATTCTTCCACCATTAGGGTTATGCAAGATAGACGAGAACAAGCAAGACAAGACTTAAAGGGTTTGGAAGAGACAGTGGTAAGAAAAATGTGAAAATAAATAGATTTGGGGAGTGTTCTTTGGAAACTTTTTTTTTCCTACTATGGTTATTCTGAATTTGAAGACTGAATTCCAAAAATTTTCTGTTCTGAATTCAAGGCAAAAGAACTTCAGACTTTGCACAATCTGCGCAAGCTCTTTGTTCAGGACCTGGCTACCAGAGTTAAAAAGGTAATAGAGGTACTGCTTACTGTATATAATTCTTTGTGTTTGTAAATGAAATAATGTTACATTATGTGTTTGTGTAGTTAAGCTTAGATAATTGTGACCCTTTAATTTTTCAGTCTTCACACTTCTTGACACCTTATTTTCACAGAGTGCTGAGATTGATTCTGATGACACTGGAGGTAGTGCTGCACAAAAGCAAAAAATCTCCTTTCTTGAAAATAATCTTGAGCAACTCACTAAGGTGCACAAACAGGTAAGAAAGTATATTTTTATGGTGCCTGCAGCATTGTGAGAATCAAAAATTAAGGAGTGGAAAGTAGAGTCCTAGAATTATAGCCTGAGTCATTATTATTTTTTTAAGCAATTATATAAGGAAATCACTAGCAACTTCTAGGGAAGTTAATATTTTTATTTGTCTTTATTTAATCATTCATTCATTCTTTTGTTTCGTTGAGACAGGATCTTCCTGCATAGCCCAAGCTGGCCTCAAACTCCCAATCCTCCTGCCTCAGCCTCTCGAGGGTTGAGGATTATAGGCATCAGTTACCATGCCCATCTGGGAAGTTAATATTTTTAATAACCTTATTATCAAACAAGACCAGTGAAAACATGTGTTATTTCCTCTGTAGGATTTCAGACAGCTTTTCTTAATTTATTTAATAGACAGGTTTTTGCAGTTAAAATACAATCTTTTTTTTGTTTCTTGTTCTATTTACATACAGTGTTCCACTATCTGAAGTATATAATAAAATAACGCACTTGATGTCTTTTTAGAAAAATGCTTACTATGATCTATTTTGCCAGAGTAAGGTTAAAGACATTCTTCCTTTTCTTGTCTTCAATACTTAAGAAGGGGTTTTTTAAGTTTACTTGTGGTTTTAATATGCCTGAGAGGGTACTCATCTCCTCAATAAAGAAAACACTGCCCTGGCACTGTGTTCAATTTTGTTGTCTTTGCCTAGTAGTGGGAAAGAACAATTGAGACTGCCCTGTAAAAATATAAAATAAATGTGTATCTTGCTGAGAAATGTATATGTGTGATATGTAGAAGTGCATGTATTGTTGCAAGTTGCTGCCTAAATTAGAAAACCTTACTAGAAAATACAGTTTTACTTCTTTTCTAAAGAACAATTATGAAATGCTCATATTTTCTCAAATCATTTTGTGAAAACTAGAATCTTTATTTTTTGTGTGTGTATCTTAGTTGGTACGTGATAATGCAGATCTTCGCTGTGAACTTCCTAAATTAGAGAAGCGACTTAGAGCAACAGCAGAGAGAGTGAAAGCTTTGGAGTCAGCACTAAAAGAAGCCAAAGAAAATGCATCTCGTGATCGCAAACGCTATCAGCAAGAAGTTGATCGTATAAAGGAAGCAGTCAGGTCAAAGAATATGGCCAGAAGAGGGCATTCTGCACAGATTGGTTAGTGGAACCCTAAACCATCAAACCATACTTGATTTGAATGCTTTCATTTAGTTGAAAACATCATCTGAATTTTATGATGTTTCATCATGGTAGTACTTGTCTTTCATTATCTTCTAAATTACCAAAGAGTGGCACCATTAGGAAAGAAGAATTTTGAGGGGTAAGCACATTAATAGGACAAGTAGGTAAATAACTAGATATGTAAGCAAGGATGGTCAGAGCTTAGAGAAACTATATAGAATAATACTAGTAAAGCAAAAAGAGAATTGCAAGACAATAAATCACTAGTTATTTCATGTTTCTGATAATTATTGGTGCAGGAATAAGATTTTTTTAAGAGGCTAAGGATTGTTTATATAGGTTCTGGAGAAAAGAATAACAAAAGCAATGAGAGAGAAACAAGACAAAAATAAAACACTTGGGAATTAGTTGTGAATAACAAGAGGAGGTGGTCATTGTAGTTCATGTGTTAAACTTTATTCTACATCAGTCTTTGTTTTTCAAATTAGCTAAACCTATTCGTCCTGGACAACATCCAGCAGCTTCTCCAACTCATCCAAGTGCAATTCGTGGAGGAGGCGCTTTTGTTCAGAATAGCCAGCCAGTGGCACTGCGAGGCGGAGGAGGCAAACAGGTGTAAGCACGCAACAAGCCCACAGGCAACAAGCCTACAGGTTCGTACTCTGCAGCTGCTTGTGAGCCATGTCTGTATGTTGGAATACTGAGCCACTGGTGGTTAAATAGGTTTTTGGACTTTTTTAATTCTCAAATTAGTGTTAATGATTTTTAGTAAATGTACTCTTAGGATTTAGATAATGCTGTATATTCAAAGTTGCGTTCTTACTATTTTTAAAGCTATTAATTGGATCATTTGTAATCGTTCTTGATATTCTGTCTAAGATATAGCAGGGTTTATAACTATTCCTTTTAGAGAAAATTTAAGAAAGTATATTAACTTTTTCCATATTTAAATTTTCCATATTGAAATACCTATATATGCAATTTGAAGTATGAAACATCTTTTTTATACTCCCTCACCTTTTAGATTATTCCAGAAGATTCCCAGAAATGTTTATTAGCCAGCTTATGTTTCCTTTTTTCTTAAGGCCTCACAGTTGCTAAGGCAGTCTCTCTACCACTTGAGCCACGCCCTCAGTCCTTTTTGTGTTGTTTATTTTTAGATAGGATCTTACTTTATGCCTGTGCCAGCCTGGACCCTGATCCTGCTATTTGTGCTTCTCTACATGGCTGGGATGATAGACAGAGCCACTGTGTCCAGTCATTGGTTGAGATGGGGTCTCTGAACTTTATGCCCCACTAGTCTCAAACCACAATCCTCCCAATGTCTACTCCCTCTGAAGTAGCTTGGATTATAGGCTTGAACTGTTGCACCTGGCTGTATTTTCTTTAGTTAATGGGTTATCTCTCTGTCCCTTTTTACCTTTTCTTACAGATTTCTGAGCTTTATTATTTATTTTTAATTACACATTAGTATTTTTAACTAATTAGTGTTAATCTATTCCTTATAGGGAGATAATATCACAAAGTCCATGGAAAATAGCCAGATACTACCCATATATAGGGCATATTCTTTGAGAGCTTTCTCTGTATACTGTAACTTTTAAATTTCAAAGTTTAAATTGTTGATAACTATTCTAATTACTTATTACACCTATTCTACATGTTATTTTGTAGCCTCCTTTTTTAATTTAGCCCTATATATTTTACAACATGATTGATTAGTTAATAGTTGCCTAGTATTTTATAATAGGGCAGGAAGTCTGATTTTAACTCTAGAAATTCCAGAGATGGGGACGCTGGAAATTTAAAATTACTAAGTAATTATGAATAGTTTACTGTTACTGTTTCAGACAAATATTAAGACCAGTTTATTTTAACGTTGCTTGTTTTTATTTTGACATTTTGCACATTCCTGCCTTTAACTTGGAGTAGAGATTTAAGCAATATTCTGGGGATTCAGTATTTCCACCAACTTAATATTATGTGTTGTCCACAGTATAGGATTCAAAAGGAAGTGAGAAAGACTTTGGAGTTCCATCTGACTTTGAATCTGACTTGTCTACTTTTATAAACTTGAGCCAAGTAACTTTAAAGTTAATTTCTTTCTCATTTTGACCCCTTTTAAAATGACAACTATTTAATGAATCTCAAAAACTTACCATTTTTTATAGAGACAAAATAACATTATCATACCTGACAAAATTAATGTCTCTCTGGCTTTGTACTGCTGGGGTCAAACCCAGGGCTCTCTGCCTGTTAGGCAAGCGCTCCTAACTGACCTTCATTCTTGGCCCCTCTCAGTTCTTTTCAATGTTCTGTAAAGTTGATTTATAATACAGGATTGCTTTCATTTGGCTTCATCCATTAAATCTCCTTTAATCTAAATAATTGATTTGCAGAGAAGATAGACCATGCACTTTGTTAAATATATACAGCTAACCCTAGTATGGTGATGGCAGTTTAGCACATGATGGAGATAGTGAAATGATCGTTTCAAGCCTTGATAATTAGTATATAAATATGTAATTAAATGTTCAAAACATTTCAAAGCTCTGGATTTGTTTTGGGGGAGGATGGCAGTGCACTGATAATGTTAGTTACCAGTTTTACATGACACTTCTTCTGTTTTACATGCATAGTAATGGGAACAGATTGAATTTTACTAAATGCATAGGTAAGCAGGCAGTTATTAGCTGCTCCAGGTAGTAACCACTGGAATTTTCTGTTTCATTGTCACATTTGCTACCATAGTGCCTCTTTTTTAGCCCTAGCTCCCCACTCCACCCTCCCCCCTCTTTTCTACAGCTACCATGTAGATAACGGCTAAATGCTAATTAGTGTTTCTTGATTTAAGAATCACTATCACTGTCTACTGGTTAAAAGACTAGTTATTATTTTATTTTTTAAATAAATATAATTCATATGTCAGCTTACTCATTAAAGGGCTGACCTTTTAAACATTGTTCTACTCATAAAAATTTCTGTTTACAAGGTAAAATAAAGGAGAAGAAATCAAAATTAGTATTGCTATTTTTTTAATTTGGGGAGAAAGTGGTCAAAGCTGTTGGCAAAAATGTTAATATGTAACTTCACATATTTAATTTCCTTATTTGATTCTTCATGATTAATTAGACATGAACTTTGTAAAATAATTTTCTCTCTGCTTTCTCCCATCTTCAGATGTTGAAAAATAATTCAAGTATGAAGAAGACATAGTATCAAATAGTCATTCAGTGACTATAACCTCTGCGCTCTTGGAATTGTAGAATTACAACTTTTTTAAAAACAAAAACTGTATAAATTACGTCTGGCCTGTACAGCTATTCCTACTCAATCTTGTAAACTCTGCTGCTTCCCAACACAACTAGAGTGCAATTTTGGCGTCTTAGGAGGAAAAAAACGACAGTTTACAGCTGTGGCCCTATTTATTACACAGTTTGTCTTTCATGTCTTAAATTTAGTCTTCACTGTGCCAAGCTAACTGTTCTTATAGGGCTGTGCTTTTTGTTATTTCCTTTTTTGTGTGTATGTTTATTTTTAAATCTCAATTTAAATTCCCTAGTTGCTATTACTTGTTTTTCTTTTCCTATTAAAATGGCTTTTCCTTTTTTAGGGAAAATGGAACATTTAGGTTAAACGTCTTAAATTTTAGCACTCAGAACAACACTACATGCCCCACAAAATATGTCAGGTCAGTACTGTATCTTTAAAATTCCTTGATGTGAAATCAGGGTTAAAATTACTTGTATCAACTCTGAAGCTTATTTGTAAAACCGTTTGAGCACTGAAACCTAAAAACTGCCTAACTGGGCAGTGAGGAATGAGCAAAGCCACTTGATTGTTGTCTCATGAGATGCATGAGATGCTCGTTGCGGAGTTATTTTGAATGGAAATATTTTCTATATTGAAAGTAAATCTCAGTTTTAGAGAGTTTGGTAAAGGAATTGTATCACTTCTTCTGTACTTCACATAGCTTCATGGAATGAAAATACCATGTTTCATTCTGGTGAGCCTGCTAGCTGATAGAAAAATTGGGCAGATACTAATTTGTCATCTTTAATACAGTGAATGAATTAAGATATTATAGAATTAGACGTAATTTTATATTACTAGATCATTGCATTGACTGATCTAAATTTAAAGCCTATGAAAATTGAGAAAAAATGCAAAGCAACAGATCAGATACAACATAAAGGTCAAAATACGCAGGTAAATTTTGGTCTGAAATCTCTGAGGTGTTTTTAACCTGCTACAATGTCAATCATACGTTAAATTTATTTCTTGTTTAGTCTAGAATATTATATTGTTGGCTGTAGTCCATAATTCTGTAATTAGTACTGTGTACCAATTTTTGCCACATCTTCAGATGATTAAACTATGTTAACAGTTTCTTTTAGGGAACTATAAAAGTAGTAGGGAAAGAAATTTCAATATTTCTTCATCGGGGTGGGGTGACTGTAACTAGGTTAGCAGAAGTTCACAGAAAATCGGTATTTAAGGTTACTCAGTAAAGAAACTTGGAAAGTTCTGTGTTAGGATCTGGCTGGCAGAATTAAGCCTTTTGAAAAAGTTTTATATACAGATATTTGTATTAAATTTGGAGCCATAGTCAGAAGACTCAGATTATAATTGGCTTATTTTTCTATTTCCTTAACTGTAATTTCCACTTTTGTAATAATTTTGATTTGAAAGATGAATTTACTTATTTATTTTTTTAACAGTCAAAGATCGTTGCTGTTGTAGTCTGCAGTCTTTAAAATGATTGTGTTGCTTTTAGGATTGATCAAAACAAACACTCCAAAAGCTGAGGTGAATTCTTGATTGACAGCAAGATATAAGCAGTACGGTTAACAAAGTGCTATGTCCTCTTTATGATGATAGTTTTCTAAATGAGGAGATATTTGGCTGCATTCTTATAGACATTTATATTTTATTTTCACATGAAAACTTCTTTTCAATATTGATTAAGGAAACATTTTTTTTTCCTCTTTTGTCTGAATATGGTAGTTTGATTCTTTTAAGATGTATCATGGGTATTGGTGCTGTGTAACAGACAATGAATTGTAACTAGCATATGGTTCAGAATACACAATGTTAGGTTTTCAAAATATGTTAATGGTTCTTTTCTATTTATAATTTCAAACTTTCATAAAGTATGTCAGAAATTTCATAAATTTGTTTTCAGTGAACTCTGCTATGATAAGTCATTAAAGACAACATTTAGTCTTATAAATGGAACTTTCTGATCATCTAGAATATTGACACTTTCAGTTTACAATGTCTCTTTTTTTCTTTGGACTGGAGATATATATATATATATGTATATACTTTTATATACATATATATATAGATAGATAGATAGATAGATAAATGTTCCTCTGAATGGTATTGGTAAATGGTTCAGAAGAGAAACTCATTGAAATAAAAGTAATATTTATTCATGATGATCAATTAAATTATTTGCATAATTTAAGAAAACTAACTACTGTGCATAACTCTCATTTGTGTGTAACTCAATTTGACATGATGTGACAGAAGAGAGTCTGAGTCTACCGTGTGGAATATGTTGGTTTATTTTCAGTGCTTGAAGATACATTAAAAGGTAATTGGTTCAGGAAGACGCCATATAATTTTAAGTTAGCCTGCATGCTGTAAATGTGTTTTGTGTTTAAATAAAGAGGAAAATTTTTTGAAATGTAATGACTTTCTTGAAACTCATTTGATTTTGTTGATTTTACAGACTCAGTGGTCTGTCCCGATAGAATAGCAACTAATGGATCATTATATTCATACGTATTTTGTTTCTTGATGTGTTGTAGCTTTTGAACAGAGGATATTAAATGTGTAGGCTGAAAAATTAAGAGCTAGAAATGAATTATCAATCTCACGTTATTTGTATAGTCTACATTCTGTTCATCTGAGTCTGTTTTACCAACAAGTAAAAGAATAGTGTTAAAATTCATTTTTCAAATTCTTACTTAATAATCATTCAGGTTTAGATGGAGGATAACCAAAAAAAGAACAAAGAGTCCCTAAATTCAACTGGTGAATGGTTTGCTGTATTTTGTTATACATCTTTTTAAATTATTGTGGTAATTTTTAGTCATATATAAAAATTGAATAAATAATAAAGCCCCAAGTACTAGTTAGAGCAGTTATCAGTTCATAGCAAATCTTGTTTCATCCATAATCCCATTCATGCCTTACCCCATACTAGTTTAAAGCAATCCAGATAATGCTTTTTTCACAAGTATTTTAGTATATATGTACTACTTTTTAAGATAAAGCAGTTTTTTTGTGGCAGGTGGGGTAGGACTGGGGTTTGAACTCAGGGCTTCATGCTTACAAAGTGGGCACTATACTGCTTAAGCTATACTTCCAGTCCATATTTTTCTCTGGTTATTTTGGAGATGGGCTCTCTTATACAATTTGTTCTGACTGGCCTTGAACTATGATGCAAGGTAAGGATTCTTTAAAACACAACAAAGGGGCTGGAGGTGTTGCTCAAGTAGTAGAGCTCTCACTTTGCAAGGGTGAGGTCCTAAGTTCAAACCTCAGTCCCACCAAAAAAAAAAAAAATTGTATTGTACAACAAAGGCCAGGTGTGTCTTACATGCCTGTAATCAATCCCAGCACTAGAGACCGAGGCAGGAGCATCAAGAGTTCAAAAGTCCAGCCTAGGCTACATAACAAGACCCTGTTTCCAAAAAAAAAAAAACCATTATCACATCAAAACATTAATAATTTCCTAATCAGATTTTTAGTTTTTGTAAATTTGTTTGCCTCAAGATCCAGCTAAAGTCTGTATATAGCAGAGCCCCACTCCATTGCTCTCATTTTTTCCCCTTGGAATTTATGAACTAAACAGGTTATCTGCCATGTAGAGTTTCCCAGATTTTACTGATTGCATCACCTTATATCATTTAGCATATTCTATGTCATTTGTGTTTTCTGTAAATTATTTTGGATCCACAGACTTACTAAGATGTGGTTACTTGTTTCATAGGAGGAGTGGTACTGCCTCGTAGGTGGTTGTATTCATCCATCAAGTGGCGCAGGAATGTCTGGTTGTCTCATACTGGGCTCTTGCTCATCATTGATAATCAGTGCCTCGGTCCATCAGTGTAATTGGGGTTGCAGAATGCCAGTATTCCATCATTCCTTTTGTTTACTGCAGTAGAAAATTGCCCTATTCTGCTATTTGGTTACCCAGTGGTATAGTTTATGTAGGAAAGATGAGGTAAAATACTTGCTTCTCTTTCTCTTTGCAACTTTCAAAACATTGAGTAGCTTAACCATATCTTCTAAGGTTGACTAGTAAGTTGTGCACCTTCCCCTTTTTGTTTTCTATTATTTATTCTTTTTTCAGATAAACTTAACAGAAAACTGAAACAAAAAAAAAAAAGGAAGAGCACAGCTTATGTAAACAATAGGATGCAAAGGGGAATAAAGAAGTTGTATCGAGAAGACCCTACTGGGAAAGTATATACTTTACAGGATGGGGTGTAGATACTAATGCATTGTAATTGATAAGACTGCAGATGTGGTCATTTTCTTGTTAAGCAGGTGACTTACGCAACTCTAGATTCTGGAGGTTCTAACCCTTTAGAGGTAATGGTCATAAATAAAAATCCATCAGAATCTATATACTGTCTAATTCTCAATTTCGTTGTAGAGCCAAGAGAATTTTGCATTGTTATTTTGACAGTAAGTTTTTATACTTTAAAGAGAAATATACTTTTCATATTCAAATATAATTGGTAGTAGGGAGAAATTTACATAAAGCAGTGGATTCTGGTAGAATTCAGTTTGACTCCCACTTGTCCCTGACAAAAGGGACAAGGGCCTCTAACCATGTAGAGCTCCATGTTGCAGGGAAGGAAAACACAAAGTCCCCCAGGGACTTCACATTAAGCCATTGATGAGCACCTAGGCTGATTGTGTAACTTTGCTATTATGATCCCATCCTGCAGTCATCCTGGGTGTGCAGGTATCTGTAATTGTATTTTGACTTTGATTCCTTTGGGTATATACCCAGTGGTATAACAGGATCATATGGTAATTCTATTTTTAGTTTTCTGAGAAACTTCCATAACAAATGGACTATGTTCTTACCAGTAAGTTTCTTTTTCCCACATTCCCATCAGCATTTATTATTGTTTTTTTGATGACAGAAGTGAGATAGAATTTCAATGTAGTTTTGATTTGCTCCTCCTATATTGTATTGCTAAGGATATTGAACATTTTCATGTATTGGCCATTTGTACTACTTTTGAGAACTCTGTTAAATTAATTTGATCTATTGATTGGATTGTTTAGGGGAGTTTGGGACATTTAATTTTTTTTTGAGGTTTTTTTTTTAATACATATTCTGGATATTAATCCCCTGGCAGATGAATAGCTGGCCAAGACTTTCTCCCATTCTGTAGGCTGTCTCTTCACACTTACGTTTGCTGTGCAAAAGCTTTTTAATATGCAATCCCATTTGTCAATCCTTATTTCCTGAGCTATTGGAGCCCTATTCAGAAAGTTGGTAGCATTTCCTTTTTTTATAATTTATTTATTTATTTTTTTTTGTGGTGCTGGGTATCAAACTTGGGACCTCATGCAGGCTTGTCAAGAGCTCCACCACTGAACTACACACCCAGCCCTAACACTTCCTTTTGATTCTTTGTTACCAGTTTCCATTTCTCTACTTACAGTGTCCACCTATTTTTGACTATTGCCCACTTTTTCCATTATGTTAAATTTCTGGTCTGACAATTCCAAAATTTGCCAGTGTCTGAATGTGTTTCTAATGCTTGTTCTGTCTCTGCTTTAATAAAGTTATGTCTTGTAATTTTTTTTTTAAAGCTGGTCATGATATAAAAAAGATGAGTTAAAAAGAATGCAGTCTGGCCTCCAAGAGTGAGCCCCAGGGCTTTTAAAAGTATTTGTCCTTCTGTTCCAGTAAGCAACATTCTCTCTATTGTTTTGAGAGCAGCAGTTTACCCTGTGACCTCACTTCTCTAATAGATCTGAGATGATTTTCTTATCTGTTCTCCTGGAAACTGGAAGTCTGCCCAAGGCACTGTTACTCAAAGCTGCACTTGAAAGACTGCAGTACAGTGGTAGTCCATATTTGGCTTGACTCTACATACCAAGCCAACCCATCCAGAAAACAAATGTGACTTTTTCCTCCTCTAGTTTATCCCCGTGTTGTCACAGGGAGGGGAGCTAATAACAGCCATGGTAGATGATGTGGGTAAACTTGTAGCTTACATGTTCCTCTGATCCTTCTGCCTGTGTTCAGTCCTGGATATCACTAGCCTTGTGACATAGTGGGTTGGACAAAACCCAGCTCTTGATGGCAGCTCCAAGCGCACAGTTCTGTGGTCAGGTGTTCCATCTCTACTGGGCTTGGCATCACAGCAGGAATTATTCTTCCAAGGGCATATAATTACTGCAGATTTCATTACCTTGCTCCAGACCCTCATGGGCTTGCATTCTCATTTTGCCATGTGTAATTTCCAAACTGCATGTGGCATCTTCTCCCACCACTGATAACCTCTAACATCTCTGGGTCTTCTGGGCATGGCATAAAGCAGATCCACTTGCACCTCATCCTGCTTTTGCTGCAGAGCCTCCTCCTGATCTGAATCCCACTTCAAATCCACAGCATATTACACCCCCTGCCATAGAAGTCAAGCAATACTGCTATGTATGGAATATGGTGTCATCAGAACTCAGAGACCTACTAAGCATCAGGCTTCCTGGCAGAAGCAACAAGATGTAATGATTGGCCTTTATTTGGGAGAGCAAATCTTGACAGAATGTTGATTACTAGGTTCTTAGAAACTTTGTTGATGTGGCCAGCTCTTGACTCTAAGATTTGTCTCCCACACTGTAACACATACCCCAACAAGGGCCTCCAGCATGTGAACCTCTTCTGGGTCATTCTGCTCAATAAGCAGTATGAATGTGGCATTGCATGGGATGCTCAGATCTCTTTAAACTATACTATTACAGATGCCAGGAGAGTTAATCTGCCCTGGGGCAAAATTATATGTGTGTGTTGTTGCTTGCTAGATGGATTGGGAACTGCTCCTTGTTCTATCTGAAAAGTACATTGCTGACAGTGGGAAGCAGTGTCAGAATGTTTTGTTTGGCATTTATCACTATTCAGGATACCCTGTGTCCCACAAGGATGTAAAGTAGGGGATTGTGCCAGTTACTAAGTATGTCAATTCTAATTATACACAGAGACCAGAAAATGACCACTAAATAGATCCACAAAGCATGTGCAGTTTTAGTGTGAGCACTTAAATCTAAACATATACATTTATAACTTGGCCATCACTCCTTGTCCCCCATGCTTCCCCCCATGATGATGCTTCAGGTCTCTTATCAATGTCAACGTAGACCATGTTTCCACAGTCCTCCAAATATTTTGGGTACTGTGGGCTTAGTGTTAATGTATTTGCCTAGCATATGTGAGACTGTTTAATCTCTAGTACTGAATGTGTGTTGCATATGTCTGGGTATTCCCCTTTCTGCAATGTCCAGTTACCTGGATAAATGTCCATCGTTCTTTTTGTAGCAGGATTGGGAGAATTCAGTCTACTTGCTGTGTTACTGCATTGTTCTTTCTCAAGATCTAACCTCTTCGTTTTGTGGGTTCTGGGTTGGAAAACTGACTCAGGTAACTGATTAAGGATTATGGTTTTTTTTTAATTGGCAACTCCTCTTGGATTTCTGTCTTCTATCCTCGATGTTCTGAAAGTAAAACTGAGGTCTCTTGTTGGCCCTAGACATTGTGTTCTAAAGGCCATATCCATCATCTCTGTAGATTAGGCCCCCTTTGACTCCCATTCCAGCTCTGTTGTACATTATGTGTCTACATGTCTTCTGCTATTCAGACACCACCACCTGGCCTTCATTGTTGGGTTATGGAGAATCATCACCATTGTTGCCAATAAAGCTGTTTTCCAACAGCCTCAGCTACCATCAGCACTGCCTTACAGAACAGAGCCACCACTTAGCTTTTTAATTTAACCAAGGAATGAAGGTTAACACCCCAAGTCATACACCTCAGTCAGATTGTATCCCAAAGGGTTGTTAATTGGTTTCCTGGTGACTGTGACCCAGCTAAGTGTCATCCAG